TTTTTGATCGGTCCGGCCCTACCCTATCCTTTCATACAGTTTGTGTATGACGTAGCGGGTATGCACATGACTTTCATACAGTTTGTGTATGATATGGAGGGTAGTCACATGACTTTCATACAGTTTGTGTATGATATGGAGGGTATACACATGACTTTCATACAGTTTGTGTATGATATGGAGGGTATACACATGACCTTCTCAGCAGTAAACACACGTTGATGGCCAAAACGTTGGTTCGGCCATGGCCTGACCAACCGGACCGGTTCCGCCGGGCTTTGAATTTGGGCATAATGGAAAGCCATAATTCATCAATTTACCGAGCATAATCTGCCGATGGCTGTTTGTACTGAGTTCACCATACCATTAAATTGGACGGCAGCATAGTATAGCACCATCATTGGCATAATTCCAGCATAATGTAGCATAATCACTGGCATAATTTGGGCATAATGGGAAGCATAATTCGACAATTTATCGGGCATAATCCGCCAAGGGCTAGCACTCGTTGAGACCGCCTTTTTCCCCTAGGCCCTGCAGCGCTGTCGGACAAACTCACAAAGACTTGGTTGCGTACCCATGAGGACGTATCCATCCAACCATGCATGTCAGTTCTAAAGTCTAGGACTAGGTCGTTGTACGGGCTACAATCTACAATGTACATGTACGTGGGATGAGGAGAGGCTCTGCTGTCTCCGGACACATTCCACGTGTTTGTTAGGATGTTGATGAAGAAGCCGAGAGCCTGGCCGAGGTCGGTGGAGCACATCAGACCCCGCCACCACGTCCACGATTCATGCCTGCGATGCTCCACCGCTGCTTTGCATGTCATGATTGGAAGCTGTGGCCCTAGTAAAAAAAAAGAAAAACAAGTGCAGTATACCACGGTATCGGTATACACCATTACCATGGTTACACCTTTTCCAACCTTGCCCTTAGGCCTTAGCGGATACCTGGATACTGCAGGCAGAAAAAATGGGCAGAACATTTGGTACTTTTCTGGTACTACTACCGTAAAGTACCGCCAGAGCGCCCCACCATCTCGTCCTTTCGTGGCCGCCTTGTGGAGGTGGATTGCTGTCTGTAGGTCATACGACACGGACCTTGTACAAACATTGCACATTGTGCAGTCAATCCGTACCCAGTTTACCTTCGAGCTCCACATAAAAGCATACCAAGTGTGAACTTAGTACACGAAGGTTCTCACATCGTACAAACTTAGTAGCATTCTGCCATACAATTTTCTTCCCTTGGCTGTAAAATCAAGGTGGGGCGCTCTCGCGAGATGGGGCGCTCTGGCGGTACTTTACGGTACTACCGTAAAGTACCGTTGATCCGCCCCCACGCCATGTCGCTTCCCAGCTGGGTTTTTGGCAGGGGGCGGGAATTAGATCAAGGCTGTCAAGTGCAGTACGATGTACAACAACGTAGAGGATCAGACTCAATGTGCTGGATTGTGCACATTTTGATCCTGGATTGGCAAGTATTGTGTACAGCAGTGCATGCGTCGGTTCAACATCGTATTTCGTTGTATACGCCGAAGTCGCTTCACAAGGAGAAAATCGACAGGGGGCGGGAATTAGAGAGGGGGCGGATCAACGGTACTTTACGGTACTACTACTGGTGTGTTTCATGCACGTTTGGTACACGTACAGTGAAACCTGACTAAGACGACCGCTCAAGGGACCCTCAAAACCTGGTTTCTGTTACCAGGTGATCTCCTTACCCAGGGTCATTTGACTGGAAATTGCATTCATTGGTGCTGGTTTCAGCGGTCTTCTAAGGCAGGTGATCGCCTTATCAGAGTGGTCGCCTTGAAAGGTTTCACTGCATGTGGGTAAAAGAATGGAGCGGAATTCAAGGAAGTGCCTGCCATAACAAGGTGGTTCTGCTAACTAACTTCACTGTGTTTCGAGCAGAATCTGCCAATTTTTTTCGATCATTTATATCCCCAAGGGTTTCTCCATCCAGCCTCCAGTGCATATCCGCCTCCTCATCTACTATGGCAGTACAATGTACTAATGTAGCGCCTTGACTGACTACGAACTTTTGTGGTGAATGATAACTCTTACTGCAATGAGTGGCCGCCAACACTGCAACAGGACTGATTTGGCACATTATGCAGCACACCAGCCACGTACGATTTGTAAAGAAATTTGTCGTAATATTTTCATTTCTGCACCCCTCAGGCCCTGATCAGGCCCTGATCCGCCCCTTGACCTTCTTAGGAAATGTCATCAGCGCAGCATTCGCACAAGGTCCAGGCCAGGGGAGCGAACTCACAACTGCATGCCATCTGTCATTGTTGTGAACCCTCTGGTTCTCTAAAGTGTCAGGAACGAACGACCCCACACGGCACGAGGACAACTATTTATTCTCAACAGTATATTTCACTTCCATCGACTAATAACAATGAACAATGAATGAACAACTGAAACAACTGAATAACTAACACTAAAACCACCAGGTAGTTATAGCGTGAAAGTGACAGCGTATATGAGAAAAGCATACACATACAACATACAACTACAGCGCCCACAGCAAACTGCACATAGCGCATGTAGCGTATACTACGTCGTAAACATCAGCAGTACGGCGGAGTCGGGATACAGCTGCATTGAAACGAACACAATGTCACAAGCGAGAAGGCCTTTCACTCTCGAGAACTTGTCGTTTCACAACATTCTCCCCACCAAAGGGCTTCTCACCGCCGTACAACAACTCACAAGTCAAACGATTTGGGGCTTACTACGCGTCATCTGCTGCTGCGGTGGTGGCCATGGTAGAATATCACTAATGCCCACCACTTCAGACAACTCGACATCGCGAAGCTCGCCGCTGTGGGCTGTCGCACACGACACTGTCACCGATCCACTTCGACATGGGGCAGACGCTGGACCAGACAACACACAACCGATAATGTCATAAAGCTCGACGATGTGGGCTGTCACACACGACATGGTCACCGGTACACTGCTTCGACCCGGGGCGGGCGCGGAATCCGAGGACACACATCGGATCTCTGTGTTCCACACAGTCTCGCCGCTTACTTCTTCCGTACTAACCAGTAGTATCGCCCTTCTCATTTTCTCGGCTACTACGCCTTGCGTTTCTAAGTCTTGCGCCTCTAAGTCTTGCGCCTCCAACTCTTGCGCCTCCAACTCTTGCGCCTCCAACTCTTGCGCCTCCAACTCTTGCGCCTCCAACTCTTGCGCCTCCAACTCTTGCGCCTCCAACTCTTGCGCCTCCAACTCTTGCGCCTCCAACTCTTGCGCCTCCAACTCTTGCGCCTCCAACTCTTTCGGCCGAGACTTCAGCTGCTTCTGAGCGTCTCCGACCGATGTCGCCATGCACTGTACCGACCCAGTGGGCCTCGGATCTGATCCTCCCACTGGCTTCGAATACTCTTCTGACCGCTGCTTGTCTGTAAGCAAAGTCTTACACGCCTTGTCCGGCGTCCTTCTGGGCGAGGCAAGCAAATCTCGCTTTGCTTCCTCATAATATGTACTGACGGCGATGCGCTCGGCCATCTTCTTGAGCTTTTCGTTAAACTCTGCGCGGAGCGCACACTCTTGCCGTCTAGCACTGCGCTCTTCAAACTCCTCGCTCTGTCGGAGCCTCTTCTCCACGTATTCTCTCAACCTATCGCCTTCAAATCCATACCGAATTCCGTTGGCGATAAAGCTGGCTTCGATGATCCATAGTTCCTGTGCCATGCTCGCTTCGTATCCTGGCGTGGTCGCCAAATGTTGTGAACCCTCTGGTTCTCTAAAGTGTCAGGAACGAACGACCCCACACGGCACGAGGACAACTATTTATTCTCAACAGTATATTTCACTTCCATCGACTAATAACAATGAACAATGAATGAACAACTGAAACAACTGAATAACTAACACTAAAACCACCAGGTAGTTATAGCGTGAAAGTGACAGCGTATATGAGAAAAGCATACACATACAACATACAACTACAGCGCCCACAGCAAACCGCACATAGCGCATGTAGCGTATACTACGTCGTAAACATCAGCAGTACGGCGGAGTCGGGATACAGCTGCATTGAAACGAACACAATGTCACAAGCGAGAAGGCCTTTCACTCTCGAGAACTTGTCGTTTCACAACAGTCATGTTCAGTGAAACCTGTCTAAGACGACCGCTCAAGGGACCCTCAAAACCTGGTCTCTGTTACCAGGTGCCGTGGTCTCCTCCTCCAGGGTCATTTGACTGGAAATTGCATTCCTTGGTGCTGGTTTCAGTGGTCTTCTAGGGCAGGTGGTCGCCTTATCAGAGTGGTCGCCTTGACAGGTTTCACTGTACACTACTTCGTAACATGATGTTACATACAGTGCCAGACCTACAGTATCAGCTGAGTGGTCACACGACATTTCGTCGACAGTTCACCAATGCTGCTGTTCGGATAATCCCGTTCAACACCAGCGACCCAGGTGTCCCACATGTATATGTATGACGATCCGGTTTCGGGGGAGCATTATTCCCACATTTATGCTTCTGGGAATAGAAGCTACATATTCATGAAGATTTCAGACCACGCTTTGAGTGTGATTTCCACACGCTCTTTTCAACAATGCTTTCTATCAGTGTCATGCATACGGTTTAATATACCCGGTAGTGCGGTGGTCTACTTGGTTCGCGCTTCCCCGTCAATGCGTCTGCAAGGACTTCGCCTGTCAACCTTGAAAACAGTCATTGATGGCAGGAAAGCCGAGGGAGGAGGGAGGTGATTGGAGGAGCGATTTCAACCAGTCAACATGCTGCCCCAGCTTCACATTCAGTTGCATTGTATTTCAGAACATTAATGACCGCTGGGCCAGTGTACCCAGTGTACCCAGTGTACCCAGTGTGGGTCTACGGTCAACAAACAACAATAAAATTCACGGTTCGCGTTAGACTCGGCTGGAGCGCCCCCCCCCCCCGCCCTCCCTCCCCCCCCCCATCCGCAGGAACGCCACCACCCTCTAGGCCTCCAGGATCAAGGTGCAGATGGAGCTGCTATGCAGACAAATTCTCCTAGCAGCTGAAAAGAATTTCGAGTACAACGTCAATAACCATACAGCATTGATTATTTAGAAAAGCGATCCTGTCAGCTTTTATATTATTTTTAGAGGACTGAGATCAGTGTATGTAACTGAGGCAAGTGCACTTGGCAGCTTACCAAGGTACTGGTGGCCATGGGAGGAATTTGAAAAACAAAACAAAGGAAACGAAAAATTGATAACAACGTAATCAATCACATGTATGTGTGGGATTTCAAAATGTTCAGAGAGAAAAGCAGTACTTGCTAGGCACATTGGCACAATAAACTACGCCGTCCCAAACATTCCAATATTCCGCAGCTGGTGCGATGCCGGTGTTGCGGTGGCAGTTCCGTTACTGAGGCCGTGCATGTAGCGGGCTAGCCTCCGCCAACTAGTCAGCGTACCTTGGGCCATGCGCTCGCATTAGCTCCATGCCCGCGTTGATGGAGCACACACACGCACACGCACACACACACACACACACACACACACACACACACACACACACACACACACACACACACACACACACACACACACACACACACACACACACATATACACGAACACACACACACACACACACACACACACGCATACACAAACACACACACATATACCCACACACACACACACACACACACATGCACACACACACACACACACTCACAGACAAACATCGCTTGCTGCTGCAGATGCTGTTTGCGAATGTCTTTGAGTTACGAGCAGGGAGTCGTAAAGTACCGTATTTTACGACTCCCTGGTTACGAGATGTATGCGCTCAGCCGCTCACGTGGGTCACGGCGAAGTGTCTCATTCGCTCTCCCTGCCGGCGTGCCGCAGCCTACAACGCTTTGCGCTGGTGGCTGTCGCGTGCGCGCACTCCTGGCTGCCATTGTGCAAAAACTGCGCCCTCCTAGACCAGCGTCCATTTAGTCCTTCGCGTTTGCGAAGTATCTCCATCCATTGATCTTAGTAGTGCTGCCAATCTTTCCTTTGCTGTTGCAGTTACGGTTCCTGGTACTACTGCTGCTACTGGTGCTGCTGGTGGGGCTGCAGATGCTGCCGTTGCTCGTGCAGTTGCTGCTTTTCCTGCTGCCACTGCTGCTGATGCTGTAGCTTCTACTGCTGCTCGTGCTGTTGCTGCTTTGGCTGCTGCCACTGCTGCTGCTAATGTTGCTACTGATGCTGGTGCCGGTGCTGCTGCTGCTGCTGTTGCTACAGCTGGTGCTGGTGTTGCTGCTTGTGTTTCTGCAGCTGCTGCTGTTGTTGATGCTACAGTTGCTGCTGCAGTTGCTCGTGCTGCTGGTGCTGCTGCTGGTGCTGCTGCTGCTGTTGGTGCCGCTGCTGCTGTTGCTACTTCTGGTGCTGGTGTTGCTGCTTCTGTTTCAACAGCTGCTGCTGTTGTTGATGCTGCTGTTGCTGCTGCAGTTGCTGGTCCTGGTGCTGCTGCTGTTGCTGGTGATGCTACTGAAGCTCCTGTTGGTTTTGGTTGTGATCGACTGGCACTTTCAGCCTTTAGATAGCAGTATGATTTCCCGGGAAACCATAAGATTGCACATGTATAGAAAAAAGACGCACACAGACATCAACGCAAAAACATGCATCCGCATACACGCGCACACACACACACACACACACACACACACACACACACATACACACATACACACATGCACATACACACACACACACACGTACACACACACGCACAAACATATTTCCAAACATACTCATGCGCAGACATACCCAGAAAAAGAGGGAACGTGTACGCATAATCATGGCCAGGTCCTGAATACATTATACACGTGGACATAGTAGAAATACCCCCTGTGCTTCGTTGCACCAATGCTTTTGCAAGGTGGGCAGGGGCACGGCGGAGAGAAATTGAATTTTAACCTTGGTGTTGACCTGAGGATCAGACTATTGTCAGGTCTCATCATTGCACTGGGATAGTTGTGATAGCAGACGTACAGTAAAAAGATAATCCTTCAGTTTGCATGAGTATCCAAGTTGGGGGACACCCTAAAAGCTAAGGCCGTGCTCTTGCTTATACTCGAGAGCACCTCACGGCATTCCTTGCAGCATTGCTGCTTGTTCTCATCTATGTACATAGTCCTACACTATGGACATTTTAGAATAACTCCATTTTCAACCTGCAGCACGAGGTCATCTACCACACGCCGCACAGCTATCTTTGGAGATAGAGTGTGAAGATCTCACAGCACCTGCATGACTGTTTTAACAGCCTTTTCACCAAGTGCACATTCACCAAGGCAAACCAGGGTCATTAGCGCCGCGACCGTGGTGTTGAGAAGAATGGCGGCTGATCGCAATGTTCCAGCTGGAGCTTTCCCCGCCAACTTGACTTGACCCTTGCCGGGTCCAAGATTCAATGCATGGGCTGTACACGAATTCTGGATGGTGGTAGTGAGTGGGTGAAACACTGAGTCAAGTTGGCGGGAAAGCCGTAGCTTTAAAAACATTGAGAACAACTGAATTTATTGTACATTTAGGTAAATAGAAGACCATGGCTATCCTTTTTACATGCAGTTCTAAAACTGACCAATGACAGAAGAATGCTCATACATGTACATGTACCACATTTAACAAACTCTTTGAGGGGGAAAGCTTTATTCTCACACACAGCACAGCTCATGCAACCATACCACCTGGGCGACACTGGTGTTGCCAACGGTGAATTTGGCTCAACTTTCAGGGTGCGGTGCTCAACTCCAATCTTCTAACTTAAGGTCGATACAGTAGTTTGTATCACTATTAGTAGATAACATAGAATGGCTGCGCACTTTGTCTTTTTCATTGCAATTTTTTTAAACTTTCGTCTCCTCGTCGACTCTTTTAAAAAATAGTTGTAAAGGTTTCAACCACCTGAGCTAACGTTAATGCCCAGAAGAAAATCATCAAAGGAATGCACATCATCACGGCAATGAGTTATGTTATGCCATATTGTTGTACATGCGGCTGCGCGTGTAGCTATGTGTTGTACATGCGGCTGCGTTTGTGTCTCTGTGTCGTACATGATGCTGATCTCTGGTACCAAGAGTACATGAAAACCAGAGTGTGCAGCTCGGATGGGTTGCTGTCACGGCAGAATTCGTGATTACATCATTCTAGTGATGTAGTGCGAACAAGCAGGATTCAAGCAGGTCTCCTTCTGCACAACTGCAGCTCAGTTGCACGAACTACGCCAATTCCCGCCTCAGATCTGCGCCAAATGTGATGTAATCACGGAATTTCGCCGTGACAGACACCCATAGCAGAAAAGGCCCCAAGCTGCACACTCTGCTTTTCATCTACTCTTGCTGGTACACGCTGCTGCGCTGTCTTCAAATGCTTAGTACATGCGGCTGCACCATCTTCTGTCCCCTCCGTATGCACTCTTTCTCGTCTTGTCCCCGTTGTATACGCATTTCATCGTCTTGTCTCCGTTGTATTTGTCCAGTTGCCGTCTTGTGTCCGTCGTATTTGATCGTCTGCCGTCTTTGTCTGCCGTCTTTGTCTGCCGTCCCGTTCGGGACCAGTTGTATTATACATGTGCACAGATTTCGTCTCCATCGCCCCACTTTTGAACACAGATTTCGTCTCCATCGCCCCACTTTTGAACACAGATTTCGTCTCCATCGCCCCACTTTTGAACACAGATTTAGTCTCCATCGCCCCACTATTGAACACAGATTTCGTCTCCATCGCCCCACTTTTGAACACAGATTTCGTCTCCATCGCCCCACTTTTGAACACAGATTTCGTCTCCATCGCCCCACTTTTGCCACGTCCCCACAATATATTTCCTTGTCTTGTCTTGTGGGAAGTCAGTTCTCTCGTCGGCTCCTGAAGTGTGTTTTAGAAAAACTCTCTCTCTCTCTCTCTCTCCCTCTCTCTCTCTCTCTCTCTCTCTCTCTCTCTCGGCAACGAGAACAACTAGTTTCCTAGTCCTTTTGTTTGTGTGGCGTGGCGAAAGGGTAGAAGTAGTTCGTCCTTCAACCGAGACGACAAATTATTCGTGAATCGTATTTCGTGAAGTTAATATTGCTGCCAGGCATTGCTGCCATTGCATTACAAAGCCCTACTGCGACTCCTGATTCTCTCGTTGCACTGCTATAATATCACCTTGTATTATATTACTTGAGCCTACTGTTCGATCATTATAACATTATTAAAAGGATAAGAACGTACCAAAGATGTCGCCATTTCAGTGAGGACTCCTAGAATTTGGACCATCTCCGGATTCCAGATCTCCAGCTGCTGTCTCGACGTCTTGACCAGCGAATCTAGTCGATCCACAGGCTTGCTCCATTCATCGCAATCCTGATAACTAGGATCAAAATCTAGATCTAGGCGTTTGCGAAGGTCGTACAGTCGATACAGCTCCTCCAGTTCATGGCGAGCCTGGACGTTTGTCTCACCTGGAGTGGACCAGAGTTGAGATAGGTCAGAGCGCATCACTGCCGCATCTCTGCTCAGCACATGCAGGGGTCTCTCATCGTACTCAGCTAACCGTGCGTGGAGTTTGGCTACATGGCGTTCCTCAGCGGAAACTCTCTCTTCCGCGCGACCAATCTTAGCTCGGAAAGTCTGACAAGCTGTCTCGGTTCTCTTGCATCTTCCTGACAACATTTCAGTATCTTTACGAAGCTTGTGAACCTCGTCTTGCTGCTTGGCACATTCCTTTCGCACTGTCTGTAGCTCAGCAAAGGCAATCCTGATAGCCTGAATGTCACATTTGCACACACACACACACACACACACACACACACACACACACACACACACACACACACACACACACACACACACACACACGCGCGCGCGCACGAACACACACACACACGTGCATGCACGTGCATGCACACAGGCACGTACACACGCACAGACACACACACACACACATACACACACACACACGCACACACACACACACACTCACACACACACACACACACACACACGCACACACACAAAACACAAACAAACGCATGTACACACATGCAGATATAGACATACATGTAGATTAAGAATGGTGTTTCCATACAACCACACACCAGCAAAGATCTTGTAAAGAACCTACAACCTACAACAGTAAATGACCCAAAACTTGATTCGGACTTATGTCAAAGTTTCCACAAATGCATAACTTCTTTAGAATGATCTGTTTTGTCGAAGGTTGAGAATTGTCCAGATCAAGTCATGCTGTTGTTGTAAAGTCTGGTTATCTTCTGCTGTGTCAGACACACAGACAGACTAATATACAGACAAACACAAATACACACACCAGTAGTGACTTGGACCTTATGTCACACTCAATAATCATATACGTATGCACAAGGAAATGAATTTTTCTCTTTGGCCTCAAGTTCTTTGTTGCACAGTCGGCCATTGCAGCTTACAACCCAAATTAGTCAGGTTGCTACACAGACACATGAGCAGACGGACGGACGAACAGGGGGGCGGACAGACGGACGGAACTCGATCCTCCCTCCGCTAATCCGGAAATGTCCACCGGATGGTGAATTTCAAGATATGAACCCACTGACTTACGTTCCCACCACCCAGTTGGCAGGGGCAGGGTGAAGGCAGTCAGTATCAGGACGCCATCCACACGCCATCCTAACGTTATATCCACACACAAGCAAGCATGTTGACTCTTACTTCTAGCTTGTCTTTGTCGATTGTGACATCATGACTTGCTGCGGTCGGCCTATTTTGGCGAGTTTTCTGTTGCAAGTTGAAACAACAAAGACTAGAGTAATGGTAAAGAGGTAACCAGAAATAAATGAATAATTTTAGAGGAACAGATTTCTGATGTAAGGTGTTCTCCTATTGATCTTCAGAATAGGATATAATAACACGATTTAAAAGATTGAAATGATCACGGATTTTGGCCTGTCGATTCCTCTTTAGCTTAAAGATCGATTAATCGATTTTAATCCTGAGCAAATTGAAATAGTGTTAAAATTTATTTGCTTGTTTCCACAAGCTATGTCTGTATCGTACCAAAAACCTGCATTAGTGGAAGGGTAGCTCATAAACATGGTAGTTTTGAAGTCAATTGAACCTCAGAACATGAACCATACTCCTGGCAACTGCATATCCACAGCGGAAACTCATTCAAACCAGTACTCAGTTTTGGACTCAAACCCATTATTTAGTAATCTATAACGTAATGATTAGTTGAGTTTTTTTAAGGAATTATTGATCGGTTACTGAGTAATTGCTATAATCGTTTCAGCCCTAAAAAAATGATTATATCTTAAGATAAAATTAACGCAATGAATGAGCGAGCTGCACATTTACATGTACGTTACCTGAACATTTCGAGGCCGTCTCATCTGAAGGATTACTGGCAAATTAAACTCGATCCAATAACTCAATATAAATAGGCACAGTGCAGAGTAGCACACTCAACTTTATTCCCGTAGCTATGCAAAAGATGGCGGATATCAAACCATGGTGCAGTGTCAAGAGCGAATGCCCCATGGGCCTCTCGAATGATAATAATTTGTGAGCATGTGTTTGTCACTTCGTCTCTTCATTGCCAAGCTACGGCATTATCATGGCAACTGAAGAATGGCTGTGACGTGACAATAGTGAGATGCTGTGCTGTGTGGTGTGGTGAGTGAGTGGATGGAGTGAATGCCCCAGGGGCCTCTCGCGTTGCTACTTGCCGTGCTATGCTGTGCCATCTATCGAAGTCACACCTGGCTATCACTACATGACTGTACTCTCACTAACACCCTTTATATTACTAGTATCCTCAGTGTAGTCTATCAGTATCGCCTTTGCTTAGCCTTAATCTTCGCGCCTTAATTTTTGTGCCTAAGATGTGCCATTATGTTCCCCCCTTTTTTGCGCCTAAGATGCGCCAGTATGTTCCCCCCTTTTTTGCTACAAAAGGGTGAAGTTCACTATCTGTTAGCCATTCTACATTATCAACCTTCACTGACGAGATCCTGATGATCGAAACAGCTGCTGTCTGAAGGAGGAGAGTACCAACTGAAGTGTCGTTTTGCTGATGGTGTGCTGTGGCAACGTGTTGAGGTCGGCCGGAGAGCGCAGCGGTGTGGTGTGGTGGTTGATAAGAATTTCAGTATAATTTTGTATTATGACCAAATTTTCTTCTGCTATTTCCACTAAGAAACGAGCCCTGAAGGCATTTCAAACAAAAACCTTTCTCGGACAAAGATCTAGCTAGTTGCTAGTTCCATTCAAAGTGATGAAGCTTGAAAGCCATAGATAACTGGGCTAAATTGGTCAAATGCACATGCATAGCGCCAATGGTTTGCTGATCGTGCAAGACAAAGAAGGTGGCTGCGCCAAACGACTTGTTATTGTTGCAGCTCGCGCTTCCTGCCGAACTGACTGACACTTGGCTGGCTCACGCCATGTGAACACACCCACAACACTGAAACGGTGTGAGTGAATACGGAAGTCATTGCGCTGTACCTAGATGTACATGTTGAATACACTGGCACATCGATCGATCAATTCTTTGTCAGAACTATTTTAGTATTTCAAGATCGCCAATTTATTTGAATGTTGAATACACTGGCACATCGATCCATCGATTTCTTTGTCAGAACTATTTTAGTATTTCAAGATCGCCAATTTATTTGAATTTAGGAGTCAAGGCCGTCCTATCAGTTTGCACAGGCGTCTGCTTTTCTCAAAATGTCGTCGAAGTCACATGGAAAGCTTTGCCAAGTCATGGCGTTGGGAATGAGTCTGCGTCGATGTCGTTTTCGTCACATGGTGAGAGTAAAATTGCATCGCAGCTCAAAGAGACTATTTGGTTACAAAGCGGCCGCTCGTCAACATTTACCACACTTTCGATATGTCTTCTCTGACTTCATATCCCATCGATATGAGGAATAGGGCTGTGTTTACATGAGAATTTTCAACCCGGGTCGTGTTCAGACCGGGTTGAAAGTCTGTACGATAGACAAAATTGGTGAGCGTTTACATGAAGGCAGTTGATCCGGGTCGAATACTGATATGCCGCCAAAAGTCCACTTCTAGAGTCCTGCATGATCACGTGAATACTTTTGAGCGAAATTTGCCTGTGCGCTGCTATTCAAACCTGGCGCGAGATACGCATAGAAGTACGTTAGTACGATTTCTTCGACCCGGGTTGATTTCAACCCTCCCCTTGGGTTGAAATCAACCCGGGGCGAAATTTAAACCCGGGTCAAGCGCAATGCGTCATGTAAACGCGCCATTAATTTTGTGTACATGGCGGGTTGAAATCTGACCCGGGCCGAACTCAACCTGGGTTGAAACACCTCACGTAAACACAGCCTAACTCGTTCGTTGTAAACCAAACGTACATGTACCAACATGAGTGAGTTCTCTTCATGCTTTCGCGCGGAATATTTCTTCGAGTTCACAGTGAGATTTTTCAGGCAGCGTTCGAGCGCTCATACGGTAAGACGCCAAACTCCCCGGGCGATTGCCAGTATTGCTAATCTTTTTGAAACTGACTGGAGTACAGAACTCCGTACATCTGTACAATGTGCATAAGGACCACTTTTCGTACACCACCGGCACCCCGTCATCGCCACCACCCACCACACAGTCGCCGTCGTAGTAGTTGCCACCACCACCACCACAACTAAATCAAGTGTTCATGGACAACAACAATAACCACTGGCATCTATGATGAGGAGAATCAGAGCACCAGCTACATACGACAGAGCTTACCCACCACGCAGGGATTGGCCTTGAAACACCTAAGCACAGGGATGATATGAGCATGCAGACACACAATGGAAATCAGAGACCAGCACTGATATCAATTACTGCTATTTTGTTGTTCGATCTACCTCGCCGGACTTTATTCAAGTACACAAGATAAATGCAAGCTAAAAGGTGATATTTTGCTTCAAACAAAAAAACCAGCTGGTCAAGTGACAATGGGTTGAGTTTTCACCGAAACTTGTTGGGCAGTAGAATGCCGTAATTGCGAATGATTATGCTCCTGGCAATCTGAACATTTGCTTTTTTTAAATGTGATTCGCTTTACTCAATGCATGTTTCTCTGTATGTCAGCTATTGAATAGTTTGAATATTCGGATAACAGGGACTGAATGTGCTACCGGTGCATCTCAGCCAGCCCGGTGTCATGACAACGCTGACATTTGCAGGGCCGTTGGAGTCGGTACGACTGGTACGACCATGGCCGTATCACACTTCTGGCGACCGGTGGTCACCGTTAAATGCTCAGAAAAACAATAAAAACTTTCGAAAGTGGAGATTTTTTCAATGTTCAAGATATGCATCAGGGGTGTTTTCTATTACATGGAATCCAAAATTTTTCTAGCACGGGGTTTCCCCAGCAAGGGGCTCTGGCCCCTTGACCCCCGCCGGGGGACACTCCCCGCCCCCAGCCATACAACTCGCCAACAGCCTCCAACGGCCATGCATTTGAATGTACTCAGATACAGTTTTGGTATGGATCCGGACCCGGCGTTTGGGCGGTTTAGGTTTACAGCATTGCGATACATCCACCAGCAATGACTGGACCATCTTCCCGGTCTTTGGTCAGAGACCCTCTCCTGGCAAAGAAACCAAGCACGGCCGTGTGTAACACGAGCGACCTACGCACCACATCCTTCATAGTAAAACCTTCCATCGCCGCACGCACGCCCTTGTTGCAGCGCAAACTGATGCGTTACTATATATTCGATGCTGAAGAAGAAAAGAAGAAGACTTGGGAACGGAAACATACGTGTAAAAAAACCAACAGGAAGAAGAAGCACACTCAACAGGTGAACCAGATTCCTAAAAAGTGTGTGTGTGTGTGTGTGTGTGTGTGTGTGTGTGTGTGTGTGTGTGTGTGTGTGTCTCATATGGTGCAGTGGTATGTGCAGTCGATTTCCAATCGAGAGGTTGCGGGTTCAATTCCCGACGATTATGGCCGCACACGTCTTTCTTCTCTTTCTCATTCTCCTACTTCAAAGTAGCTCTTCTTTCATTCTCCTGGGTGGTTACCAACAGCCAGAGTATGCCGGAGTATGTGGTGTGGTGTGTGTGTGTCGAAAAAGAAAAGAAAATATGAAAAAATGAAAAAATGAAAAATAGGGATTCACTGGCCAGAAAAAGTCACTTCAATCAGCTGTGTGGTGGATACCAGGCTAAAAATAGTGGCGGTCAATTCATCAGCCTTGCAAGCTGTTGAATGGTGCAATCCCAGCACAAGTTGCTATGTCTAACATAGCTGTTCGCTATCATCGCTTCCGGGATGGGCAGGTCTGAGGTATGAGGTGTGTGTGTGTGTGTGTCCGTGCTCCCGTCCAGATTTTGTTTGGAAGGTTGAGTGGTCGTCGCCCTCCTTGTGGTCCCCGGCGGCGCTGGAAAGACGTTGTCCAGAGAGACATGAAGGCAGCTGGCGTGGATTCCTGGTTTCAGAATGCCCAAGACCGGCAGAACTGGAGGATGTTCCTTGCTGAGCCACCACTGCACACAGATGATTCGCCACCTTTGCCCTGCTTGCTGTGTGCCAGAGACTTCCGCCGCCGTGACGACATGGCCCGACACAAGTGCATTGCCCAGCGGAAGTTGCCTGTGTCACAACAGAAGGGTGCCAGGCAATGTATGAAGTGCATGCGGTGGTTGAGGAGCGCTGGAGGACTGGCTGTGCATCGCTGTCCTGTGTCCACGGATGTCCCCACTGTATCTATTCGCCATGAATCTGACTCTTTTCGATGTGATGTTTGTCGCCGCTCTTTCCGCTCTCGTTCTGGTTTGAGCCGTCATCACTGTGACCATGCGAAACGGATGTCACGTGCAGCCAGGAACAACTGCCGTCATGAATGCGAGCATTGCGAAAGACGGTTCTCAAGGCCACAGGACTTGCAACGCCATGCCAAATATTGTTGACTTTGCGATTTCTCTCTCTTCTCTTCTCTCTTCTTGTCGTTGTCTCCCGCTTCTGGGAGCGGCGTGGCCCGATAGGGTAGCTGTACATAGTAGTAGTAGTAGTAGTAGTGTGTGTGTGTGTGTGTGTGTGCGTGTGCGTGCGTGCATGCAAAGTAACACAAATATGACGTAATGAGTAGATGCACAACACGCCCCTTCGAGATGTTGCGAAACATGTGACTGCAACACGTACCATAAATAAAACAAAAATGAAGAATGAAAACAACAAAGCCAAGGCAGCAGAAATTGACAGTAGTGATCAAAAATGTTAATCATAGGACTTTCCATGATGTGAACCGATGTTTAAACGTTGGGGTGGCTTGCGCTAACGGATGCTGAGGCGGAACGGTGGCGGCAGGGCAGAGGCGGCAGCAGCAGCCGACAGGACAACCAACAATGCAGGTACAAGTCGGCGATACGGACGCAGGAATCTGCGGTTCTGCCAGTAAATTCGACCACTCGCCAGCTTCACTAGATAATCCCGATGACTACCGACAGCAACAACGATCCCACACATAGACCACTGTTTGGTGCGTGGGTGCTGAATGTCCACGTGGGTGCCGATGTGGAGCTGCTGCAATGAGTGACGAGTTGGCTATGTGTCTACGACTGCATCATCAGATGGCATGGCATTCTCATCAATTGTTGTCGCCTTGGATAGCCAGGAGTAATCAATCTCCTTCCAATGTGCCATAACAAACGAGTGAAGAGCGCGGCCATACAGGAGCTCAGCCGGGCTCTGACCAGAGGAGCCAGGCGGGGTTTCGCCATTCCAGTAGCCCTCGGCGGAAGTCACCTGCACCGAGATTGCCATTTACTGTTGTCTTGGTGATTAGACGCTTCATGGCCTTGACAGCAGCTTCGGCGTGCCCACTACTCTGCGTCTAGTGGGGAGAGAACATGACATGGCTTACTTGCCAGCACTTACAGAACTCAGCAAACTGATGCGAAGAGAACTGGGGACTACCATCGGTGCATAGAACGGCAGGAACACCGGCAAGAAAGCACCATTCTCGTGTGTTCGGGATGTTAGCTGTGAGTCATACAAGTGACAATTCAAGTCGGCAGGAAAAAGCGCGAGCTGCCATGTACAGAGCAAGACATGATTCCCTAATTAACGCTGAAGTCGCACCAATCTCTTCTTCACAATGTTGTCCCCAGTGCAGGCTTGATAATTAGATTGTTTGGAGGCAACGACGTTGCGAATGGCCAACAGCCCTTGGTGTTTGTCCAGCACCTCCATGAGCGATACTGCCTCATGCTGCCATCTGGTGTTCATGAGATGCTTGTCGCGCTGAAACGAAGCGTCTCTGTAAGTTTGTATCCCTGGTGATGGTTTGGTCTGGAGAGCACTATAAGTTGTGCTCTTCAGATACAATCTTCTTCAGCCTACTCAAGCTCAAGTGATGAGGGGTGAATTCCCCGAAACACTGTGTATTGAGCAGGGAGTGGTGCTTTCTTGCAGGTTTGTCAAGTGGAAGGTTCGATGGACTTCTCATGTGCTCTGGCTGGCAGTCGTGAGTCAGTCAAGTGAGTCGGTAGAAAAGCGCGAGCTTCCATGTAGGGAGCAACACACGATTCCCCAGAGCGGTGCGATTACTGTATAAGTTTGTTTGTCACAGGTAAACTTGAGAGCTCAAAAAAATCTTTCCCGTATCCCGCGTTTGATTGGGGTCCGCTTGTTGTGGTGAATTTTCAATGACACTCATACCTTGGTTATCCGGACACCGATGTTACGGGCACTTCAGTCTACCGGGCACACTTTGGACGAGTGTCAGTTGAAATATTACTACTCTTTTGTCACATGCCATATCCATGGCATTTCCCCATCATAATGTATGTGATTCGGCGTTACAGACATTTCGAAGTTACGATCAGTGCGCAGTCCCAGACAGCCCTGATAAAGGACGTATGAGTGTACTGAACTCTGGCCCATGAAAATGTGTCTGGTCATACAGTCAACTTTGCGTATAACGACACTCGGCGGGGCATCAGAAAAGTGTCCTTATTCGCAAAGTGCCGTTATACCCGAAGTCTCATTATATGTATTACAGTTAGATGGGACTTTGCTCTGGGCATGGAAATTCTGTCGTTATTCGCGAATTTTCATTATCCGCAGTCGTTATTAGCGAAGTTGACTGTACAGGATTCCCCTTGGTATAGAGTCCGACAAACACAGGGGTTTACTGATTAACTTTGCTTTCGGCAGAATTCATTTTGACTTCTCATGTCCTCGCTTTCATGCCCTTTTAGAAGCCTTGCTTTGAATTTTTTCCTCCGGATTTTGTAGGCTTGAATCACCATACATCAAGTAGAAGGATTTCACTGTACGTCACGTAATGGCCTCGGCTATTATAGAATTTCCATCAAAAATACATGATAAAATACAACGAAGAAATACGGCATCTCCTTACCTAGAGATGAAGAAGTGCACGAATCGCGAAGACTACCATGAGCCAAAGGTAGCGGCAGTCTCTCCCGAAGCACGTGTAGCTCGTTGACTCGCGCCATCGCCGTCTCCATGATAAAATGAAGAAATACGGCATCTCCTTACCTCGAGACGAAGCGGAATCAGCGCAAAAACATGTAGGACCATCATGAAACAGTCTTCTCATGTCCTCGCTTTCATGCCCTATTAAAAGCTTCGCTCTGAAATTTTCCCTCTGGATTTTGGAGGCTTGAATCACCATACATCAAGTAGAAGGATGTCACTGTACGTCACGTAATGGCCTCGGCTATTATAGAATTTCCATCAAAAATACATGATAAAATACAACGAAGAAATACGGCATCTCCTTACCTAGAGATGAAGAAGTGCACGAATCGCGAAGACTACCATGAGCCAAAGGTAGCGGCAGTCTCTCCCGAAGCACGTGTAGCTCGTTGACTCGCGCCATCGCCGTCTCCATGACCTTCAGCAACTTCTCCACATCCGAGCAGAGTAGCCGTGTGGGTGCAACATCCTGCGTGTCCTCCGTGTTGAGTGCAGTAAGGCGTTCCCGCAGTTTGCTGCGCCGCTCTGCAATCTCTTGCACAACAGTGACCAGTGGCGTCCTCTCATGTTTCCACAAGAGAACATTCAGGTTTGCACTCTGCTCCTCAAGTTTGGCGATTTCTTCTTCGAGCACTCTGATACGCTCTTCGAGTTCCCTTTTGTCACTTTCGTAACCATGGAGACGATTCTCCAGGACACACTTCTCCTCACGTAGCTTGCTGGTGCTTTCCTTGAGCTGTTCATGCTCCTGGTGCACCCTTGCTACTTCTTGGAGCAGGTGATCTGCTGAACCGGTGTGAAGTGCTTCTAGGCATAGTCGAGTGTCAGTGAGGATGGGACGTTTTCCTGGGTCCGGTTCCAGCAATGTCATCACTAGCGTGTTGAACTCAGTCACGTACTCACTGGGTAATGGTTTGATGTCGACATGTTTCATGTTGTACATCACCGCACCACCATTTCTGTACGCGCCCGGATAGTCAGGTAGCGGATGAGCTTTCATCACAAACTCGTAAATCAGGACGCCCACAGTCCAGCCGGTCTGCCTGTCAATGGCATACTCAGTCCATGAACAGCCGCCGCCAACCGACCATCCCCGGCAGTAGGACTGACTGTGAACCTCAGGTGCAGCATGCTGGGTGTTGTCCAAACCGTAGGTAGAGAATTGCCGCTCGTCTTCGAGGTACAGGTACTCTTCACGACCAAACCCTGCCAGGACAATGTCGCCATTGCTGTTCAGTAGCAAGTGCTCCAATTTCAGGTCACAGTGCACTATGCCATTGTCCTTCAAGAAACACACAGCATCCAGCAGTTGCATGGACCATTTCTTGGCCTGTGCATAGGGCACTGGTCTGTCAACACGACTTTTCACATAATCCGCTACTGTTTGCTCGTGGAGATCAAACAATACAAACTGACCACGGCGACCACCGCGAGCAGACGCTGACTTATCTACGGCACCCTTCGCATGATCAGGTAGCTGCTCCCACAGCTCATCCTCAATGCTATCCTCAAACCACGTCAAAATACCAACGATATTCTTGTGTCTCAGGACTCGACTACGTTTCACCCACTCATGCTCTCGAAGACGGGTAGGCCTGCTAATGTCGTCGATTGCAGGGATGGGCGACCGACCGCCAGTCGACCTGAATGCCGAACTCCAACTTCGTTTATAGTGGTAGAACAACTTGAGCGCGTATAATTTATTAGGCGGCAGTCCGTCCAGCGTGCACCGCACAGCGAATACGCTACCCTGAGAGCCATGGGCTAACACTCGGACAAACTGGAAATCCGAGGAGAGCGCGTGGTGCAGGATGGACCGCTGCTCTTCAACATCAACATCAGCTACTTCGGGATTTGAATGAAACGAAGCCATTGCCGGCATTGGAGGCGCCAACACTCACTTCATAATTCACAGTAGCTAGGCTGTGACTGACACACGTACAGACTAGTGACCAGATTCTACGAGCAGAGCCTTGTACTCGTCAAGATGGCGGCAAATCCGAGAGTACAACAATTTCGACTCTGGCTATGTGCGCGGCGGATGCGAATCTCGCACGTGCATGCAAAATCTAGCCTTCTGCAGACATTTTCCGAGAGAGAATGTGGCTCTTTTCATCCCAACATTTTACTCGTCACGCTCTCCCTCCCAGCTTATTGATACGAGTATCTGCTACCGAGTAGAAGTCTCCATCTTCACAGTAGGCCAGGCAAAATCGCAACGTTGAAATACTTGGCTCACTTGGTGTTTTTGGTCCTTTGAGATGATGTGGCTGTTGTGTACAACTCGAAGTGACAAACTTGAGACCCCCGCGCCACAAAAAACTAAGGCGCGCCACAAAGTTTCGTTTGGCTATTCAATGAAAGGATGTATGGAAGCAGGGATAAAAACTATCGTGGCTGCCGGCAAAACTCCTAGTAGTCCATCGGCCAAGTCTCAAAATCGAAAGTGGTGATGCACTGAGCTTCCAACTAAACGCGACCATACCCAGCACGTAGAGAATATATCAGAGAACACTATTCCGTTTGTTGGACGTGCCGAATTCAGTCCAGGGCGTCGATACGAAGCGTTCTTCGTCGCCGAGTTTTTTACTGTGCACTCCATTTGAGAGTGCGCAGAGTTCTGATCGAGAGTTTTTTTGAGCAGATTTTCAAATTTTTGAGGCTGTCAGCTGACAGCTGTCAACCCTAAATGGCACTTAGTATGTGACAGGCAATAGGTTTTGGTGCCTCCGTATGCCTTCTATCTTCCTTCGTTTCACTACGCTGCTTCGCCCACCACCTCAGGGGATGACAGCGTACCTGCACTAGTCAGCTCTCGCTAACCCTGTCTCTCTTTCTCCGTCTTAGCGCTCGTCATTCGTGTCCTTCTGCTGGGGCGAGCTTGATACTGTTGTGTCGTAGTTTTTAGGCAATAGTGGCTGTTGTTCGCGTGACGATCAGGATTTATGGAGAAAGACGACGACTCGCCAAGTTCCCATGCAGCCACAGACGGCGTAGCTTACCGCCAACCCTTCGAGCAACGGAACCGGCCTGAGTTGGAAACCGTGTCTGTGTAATTGTGCCACGATACGGATGAAACACACAGGCTCACATGTGACGAGATGAAGATAATCTCAACAGGCTGACGGAAATCCAACAGGCTCACGGGAACGCTGCAGTTATGGTCGGAGACGCGGAGTTATTTAGTCACTGGTAAATGTTGCATCGAGTGCTGTGTGCTCTAACACAATTGAAAAAATCATGAAAAAGCGAAAATAATGCAATGGTGGGGCTGAGTGGTGTTCTGTGGAGGAGACGTCGCTGTCTCAGTATTCAACGCCGGACCCTGTATTTCAAGTCTGTGGTCATGCTCGATCATAAGTTCCTGTATGGCTCCAGTGCCTTCTCAGCATTGTTGGCGGGTAAGCACCTGGATCGTGTCCAAGTACTGCGGCTCTGGTGGCTTGAGGGATGTACGGGTGCTCGCCGTGCACCCCTGCCGGCAATCTGCTAGTGAAGCTTGGTACCTACTGTGTCCGGGAGATTTTCATCCAGAAGCTGATCTTCCTAGGCTGGAGCTGCTGCTACTCCTGTGCTAGCCCTCAACCACTGGCGCTCCTACTCGGCTCCAGTGTGGGCCATTAACCACCTTGCCCGATTTCGCACTGTTGCTATTCCACACCGTCAGCATTTAACTCTGAGGTCAGACCTTGATCCCTCCCACCATATGCTATCTGTCTGTCTGCCTCTCTCTCACACACAGATGTGCACGCATACACACAAACACACATGCACACACACACACACACGCACACACACACATTGACACAAACATACACATAGCCAACTTCTCTGTGTTTGGTGATCATCATCTGTTTTCTGATGTGCAAGCTCACCTCTGATGCCGATTACTTCCTTGCTTAGACCCGGTCTGCTATTAGACCAGTCTGCTCTCCCTTCACTTGCTTGTAAATCCTACTTGGAGCGGTAAGGTTGTGTCACTGCTCCTACTGATGTCGTTGTTGTGAAAGCAATATCATCGCCATTGGTGGTAATTTTCCACCGTGCATGAATCATTTTAAAACAATCATCATCTATGTGTCACGGCCTAACCATCCCCGTAACTCCCCTCATCGTGACTAGTGCTGTACCGTTGAAACCTACTTTGCTTCAGTGTATATTCGCTCCAAAGCTCTTGTTTTGTTGCATAGTGATCAGACGCAGTGTGCTATAGCCTATCGGGTAATATGGATAAGATTAGTACAGTCGGCATCGCCTATCGAGTGACCAGGTACATGTATAAGGATACTAGTACCGTAAAGTACCGCCAGAGCGCCCCGTCTCTCCCATCCGCCCCTCCCTGACTTCTTGTCAGGGACGTGATTGATTGTATCCTCGTATGACTCTGTCACAGTCTGTGATGCCGTACTGTACTGCAGACGCGTGCTCAACCCCGTTGGAAATGTACGCAACAGTGCCCACCCTCTTGACCAGGGATCGCACAAACCCTGCGTTTTGTCGGGTCTGTACGACTCCTGGCTCTTGACCTTTGGTCGGTGTACGAGATGCACGAACAGTTTTCGTAGGGTGAGTACTTTTTCATGTAGCACTGAATGCGGCAAGTAGGACCCGCCCATCCGCCCCTCCCCACCTGAAGCGTCGAGAAGGTAAGGGCGCTCTGGCGGGATTTTACGGTACATGTATACCGGCTTAACGATATCGGAACACAAATAGCACTATGTGTGCAATATTCCTTTCTAAGCTCACGCTGTGCGGTGCAGATAGGTCATGTGTCGTTGCCAACTTGCCGCATGTGCATGTGCAGCAGGAAGGCACCACATGTCGACTACTACTTATACTGTACAGCATTGTGTGCTTACATGCATCTACGGCCTTGTGGATGCAATTGAGTCTCGCATACATGTACATGAAATATTGCGTGTAGTGCGGCATCAGTTAACATACAGTGGCTAAATATTTTTCTCGCAATAATGACCGTATTCACCACAAGTGTGTTTATGTCCAGAGCCAACTCAAGTCCTGTATTATTTATGACCATGACAACAAGACTTCCGGGCTGAAATTCTTCTATGACAGGCATGAACACTTGCCTTACAATTGTTCGTGATTGTACGAAGTACATAATTATTCGCTGTTGCATCAATTTTGCACCATTTACATTGTAGTGCCACTAGTGGTATCACCTGCATGCGTATTGAGTCAAACAAGGTTACCTCTGTATAATTATGCTTATCGTGGCTATCAAGAGCTTCGATGCAAATTCCCAGCTGACGAATGGTGTCCAGCTTGTGTTCAGCTCAGCTGGCACTCACAACTCATAATAATTGCGTTCTAGACGCCAGATGAGATGTTTCAGCTACAATGTAGACACAACGTCCGTGTTCAAGAAAGCCGTCACTTCATCTTCTGTCCATCCTCAATAGCACGTTCAAGCAAATACGTCTGAAACACAGTAGCGACAACCCGACAGCGGCGACACGCCGTCTTCTCCGAATGAGCTTCTACCGTTCTAATTCAGATTCCCCAAAAATGTCAAAATAAATAATAGATTTCCACCAAGCTCGCTAGAATCTTGCGAACCGTCAACATGCAGGCATTTCAAGTGTTCGAGAGTGCGTAGATTCTGCTCAGCGGCTCAAGAACATTCGCCAAGCGAAAAAAAGTCGATGAGAAAGATGTAATGGTGGACGAAATTACGAAAATCGGAAGAAGGTATTCGACCCAGTTCGACTATCCTGGACTGGATTGGCAACGTTACGTCCAACAATCGGATTCGTATTCTATGGGGTCTCATGAGCTAGTGTGCCAAAGGGCGTTTAGTTGGAGCTTCAGTGCATCACCTTCGCCGAAAGAGGCCCTTTCTGAGATTTGGCCGATGGACTATAGTAATGTAAGAAACGGGGGTGTGACTTTGGTAATTCCAAGGAGAATGTACGCACTGCCATTCCACAACGAAGACGAAACTACGAGCTCAAAAACACTCCGATTTTCAAACAAACGACGCAGGAAAGAAGACATGGCCGCAGTATTCCCGTGTGGTCTTCAAAACACCTAATTTTACTTCGATAGCGGCTGGTTCAGGGCAAATTCAGGCCCAATTCGACAGCGTCGTACCGCTCAGATTCGCCCAAAACACGAGGAAATGTACGGTAGATACAAATACGTACGCATTTTGCGTACGGGGACGACTGGCCAGAGTTCATGCACTGCAAACACCCGTGCCTTACGCCTTGGCGACTCCGCGACGAGATGCAACCAACTGCTGCTACCGGTAGCCCAATCCGAGACAGTCAGTAGATCTATCCAGAGTGTCCTTATCCCAACACTACAAGTACAAGTCAACGGAAAGTTCTCAATGATGGGGCTGTTAAGTGATGACGTCACAGTTCCTTCGATACGCATAGCAACGATCCCACTGGGGACAAACAAAAGTAGCGTCGTCTCCACCGAACCAGTTGTCAGTGGCAACATATAGGAATCGTGTACATTTCTTCGTTTCTTCTTTGCTGTTTTCAGTGAGTGTTTTGTTTTCTCTTTGTCCTTGATCTCGAGGGCGTTGTCGTGCTCATTACCTTACTGAGACGTCTCTTGTGACTGTAGCCAGTGTCACGGAGGATTTTATTGGCGTGACGAGGTAGATCGCCGAGATCGAGCGTGAAAAACGCTCTGCATTAGTAGCTCCTGTAGAATGTCTTCTGGGATGGCGTATCCATGGTCAACAAAGCCAAGGTGCAAGACAGCATAAGAGATCGTGTAAACGATGTGAACTCCAAAAGGTAAGCTCCTGAACAAGTGGAAAGATATGTGTATTTACAAACTCTCTCTTCATCCATCGATTGCCGCTATGCATTGCATTTTGTCTTCACAGATAATCTGGACAAATAAATTATTATTGTAACTGGAGAGTGCAATCGTGCTTGGGACCCATCCCAATGTCATCACATGGCTGTGGTGACTAGTGTATACCTGGGAGAATTTTTCCTCAACTGAGACGGAGTGTAGATGGATGGATTATGAGAAATGCGAAGATGTGGAGTAAGTTGTGTCGAAGAAATGTGTAATAAAATAAAATTTACTTTACACTCAAACATACACTGTACATGTACATGTAACATCATGATAATGATTCCATCTTCATTATCTCCGCAACAGGTACGCCATACGCACCGAATACATGGTGTGTGTGCACGTGCGCGCTTGCGTGCGCGCGTACATGCACACACTCTCATGCGTGGCCGAGTTGGCCAGATGAACAGACCACGCATTTGCACGAGGTGTCCGTCATGTCATTGGAGTGCTGTACTTTATGACTCAGGGGCGTAGGAGGGGTTTTGGAAGTGGTACGACCGAAGGTCGGTGCGGCGGAAGGCCGTGTTGGAGGGGGTCCGGCCCCCCCCCCCCCGGGAAAATTTTGTAAAAAGGACACAAAATCCTGCGTTCTGGGAACTTCTGGCGCAGTGTGCAGTCGAGTCGAGTACAGTACTCAGTACGACTGCAGATGCATAACAGATCTACGAGTCTAGAAAAAGGTCTGATGCGCATATGCAAATATCGATGGATCCTGATTTTTTATTACGGTTTTGCACGTTCCAGACGGACCACACTTTTCGAAAAGTGGTGCGGCCATGGTCGTACCAGTCGTAGCGGGTGCTACGCCCCTGTGACTTTATTCCAAAATAGTATGTCGTGCCCCTGTCAAATGGAGTTTGTGTCTATGCTCAGCGGGTATCGGGCCATGACGCCACACTGCAGTCAGCGCTGGAATTAAAATAGCACTTCATGGATTATTTTAACTAATTTCCTTTGCGTTTACTTTGTTGAGCCCGTGGTTTCATTTCTGTGTTCTGTTATGATTGGCCTCTGGAAATAATCGGAGTGGATGTCATTTTTTGTCATACGTGTGTGCCTTGTGCAACAGGTTCAAGGCTAGATGCACTTCACATTCGGCGTGGGATCTCGGCGTCTCGGACCTGATAACGTCTTGGTTGGATGGGTGATCAAGGATGATACTACTCGGCACACCAATGTACATGTCAATGTAGTTTTTACTTTTTCAGAGCTGCACTATTTACGTCTTGATGCTTACTTCGGTGCTAGTGTCGTGTCCGTGTGTTGCTACAATGTCATTATCTGTATTGTATTCCGTCTGCTTATACATGTGTCTTTATGAAGTGTTTGCCGTGGCGGCGATGTGTCTTGTCGATCAATAGTGTTGTGAAACCTATCACTATTCATGCTTTGCTGGCTACTTGCTCGCTCCGCGCCGTGCACGCTACTAGGTCTTGTAGTATATAGCTCGATGCTTTGCATCGATCGCTGGTTGTTGTTGTTCTTGTTGCTTCTCTGTTGTTTGAGCTTGGTCCTAGAGTGAAGCTTTGGTCTTCTTGTGTGGTGAGGGTGAGGAATGGGTATCTGGACTCCTGGTATATTTCCGTAAAGAACCTGGAATTGTAGAATCCTGAGAGTATGTCTGGCCCACTCCCCGGTCATGACATTAGCGTGTTTCCCCCGGATTATTTCTATCATCCTGCGTGTTCTTGGGCTGAGCGAGCACATGCACGAGTGTGCAGCTATAACCCTGTGTATCTTTGGTTACACTTTGTTCTGCAATGCATGTACCTTGTAACAGTCTGTGCTTGCACTGCTTTGTGTGGCCTGCGTATTTCAGGACTATTCAGTGCATCAGACCCAGGTTGGTTTGGTTGCCGGATGATCTCTTGTTGCGTCGCTCTGTGTTTTGTATTAATCAATTTTTGGGCTTGAGAATTGAGCTGGTGTGTGGTTCCCAATATGAAAACATCATGCTGGTGCTCTGTGTTTCGATTATCGACTGTCCGAGCAGTCACGATTCATTACCAGAACGGTCAATACTGTAGTCTCTTCACGTGTTTGTGTTTTCGCCGGGGGAATTAGCGGTGACGTTGCACATAGAACGGCAGTGTTGCATCACTGGACGACCCTGCCTTTGCATCTGACTTCATTTCCCCAGGATCTGGTGCAGATACATCAGACAGTCACTTCCTGTAAACACGCAAACAGCAAAAGAAGAGATCCCGCAAATCAGGAAAAACCATTGCGGAAAATATCGAGTAGATCATACACCATTCAATAATCTGGAGTAATTAGAGTGAGACAAACACTTCAAACAGTGCTCTCTCTCTCTCTCTCCATCCTTCCAAAATACCCTGTAACAATTCCCTGGAATTATTTTATTTTATATTCTCAGGACATCATTCTGAACAACTTCTTCCATGGGTCTTCAATCACCACGGAGGGCGAGAATACAGCTAAGTCATGCAGTCTACGGGAGGTGCGGGCTGTCATGGATATAGAGGCTGATATTGTGCCAGCGTGAGGGCAGAGACAGAAAGAAGACACTGATTTCTTGAACAACTCACCTACATATAATCGAATCCACAGGGAGCGCTCGTACTTTGATCCATCAGGAGGCGAAGAATCTTCAAAGCACTCTCAAACACGGAGTTTTACAGTGGGCAGCCAATTTCACAGCCATTATGAAGGCCCTCGACGACTACAGGAGATTTGTAGAGGAAAGAACAAGGAGTAAAGAGCGACAACAATCGCTTGACGAAAAGGCAAAGAAAAACTGCTCTCTCTCCAGTCATTTAGATGCTGTTGCCCTTCACAACTGGTTCCATCCAGAGGACGCGACTTTTGTTTGTCCCCAGTGCTCTCCGTTGCTATGTGTATCGAAGGGGCCGTGACGTCACACTTAACAGCCCCATTATGTCCAGCTGAGCAAACAGGAGCCGTTCAAACGAATCCGTCAGAAAAAATCAGAAGGAAAAGCTGCGGAAATCACTGTTTCTGGCTATCGAGCCTGTCCCCGGTTTTGCAGTCACTCTTTAGCCTTGGCATGGAGTCGAGTGGGAACATTTTGGACCGGTCGCACATATATTCGGACGCAGCCGGAAATGCGAATCCGCCCTGCTGTTCAACTCTGGGCTTGAAACCAGGACTTCGATTCAGACCATCTACTGTACAATCATGATAAATTCTTTATCATTGACCGGGGTTGGGAAAGGTGGCCTCTGCCCTCTGGTCGACTCCATCGAAGACGTTTGAGGTTATCGAGCCCTTTGCGGAGCTTGTCCTAAGTAAATGGTCGGCTGTTCGGTGACCTTCAAACGTCAAGTGTAGATCTACCAGTCTTCGTGACCTGATTGCACAGTCTCGACGCTCGCATCATTTGCGTTCTTGGACACGTATAAACAGTTCAGAGTAGAGCCTACACGCTCTCTTCCATTGACACTGCAATAGTTCAACTCATATCACAATAATCATTCCGACGTTTTGGCAAATATTAATTGCCTTCATCAGGTTCACGAACCTGATGAAGGCAATTTGCCGAAACATTGGAATGATTATTGGAAGGTTCAAGGTTATGAAAAGACCAAAGAGGGGAAGTTGGAGTTGGAAGGCTGTCGGTTAAACGCTACGGAGATGTGTTGAAGCTAGGTGTCAGGACGTCGAATGTCTCAGTACTCTTGTCAGTTTTGTGCTTGGTTATTGCACTTTCTGACTGTATATAGTATCCAGTTACAGTGATGGAGAGTTACTCTTAACTCGTATCCATATGTTCTTTTCTTTTCTACATTGAACAGTCAGACGTGCACAATTTAGCACAAAACTGACAAGGAGTACTGAGACATTCCAGGGCATGAAAGACAGCTTGAGCGCTGCTCGATAGCGCTAAAGGCCACCAACTAAACCATAATCTTGAACAATTTAGCACACAATTGACAAGGCGTGCTGACACATTAGAGAGGTTAAGGGCGTGTTCGAATTGTCTTCATCAACATTGCTGTTTAATTTTTAAAGGAGATTAGTTGAAGTGTCCCAATAGAACGGTTTCTATCATTTTAGAGTTTTTCAGTGGAATTGTCATGGCGATAATGACATCCGATCGGATCGACAATCTCGACGCACACATGACGTAGCTATTCCAAACTCTTCGCAACTAATTCACCTCTCCCATCGGATGAGGTTGTGGAATTTCGAGGAGTTTCGTTTTCTGAAGAGGCCAATGAGGCACCTCTTCAGAAAAACGAAACTCCTCGAAAAGTCAAAGAGTGACAATTCCAACGCACCCTATTAAAGATGCACGTTATTTCTGACATGACGCGAAAGTTCAGCTCGCGTTATTTGACTCGCGCGTCGAAAAACAACGCGAGTGACCTGCAGCTCACGTCGAAATTTGGAGTTTTACGCCAAATTTGACGTGAAATTGCGCGTCACGTCGAAAATAACGCGCATCTTAATAGAGAGGTTAATAATACATGTATGTTCACGTCAAATTTGGAGTTAAACTCCAAATTTCGATGTGAGCAGCAGGTAACTCGCGTTGTTTTTCGATGACGCGAGCCAAATATCGCGAGCCGAACTTTTGCGTCACATCACTGTCATCATAAATAACGCGCATCTTAATTTAACCTCTCTATTGTATTCTCTGTCAGTCACGCATAACTCACATCCTGCCTGCCACAGCCTGCTTTGCACAATATTACGTAAAATTACTAGCTCTCCAATTGCATTTTGGCTACGGCCACAGCGAGAATTTAAACAAAATACAGATTAAAATAATTATTTGCACATGACACATCCGCTCTGCCCTATAGCTATGCCTACCCTGGATCTCACTGGCCACGCAAACAGAGCAGTAAGTTGTTTGCTGGGCTTGACACCGTACTGGCAAGGAGTTTACAATACAGTAAAACCTGTAACTAAGTCCGTGGTCGGTGGAGTCCCTGGACCTGGTACGTCACCATCATGCACCGCTGCCCAGTGCAGCCCCTACTCAGTAGCTAGCTGTTTGTTTTTGTAATCATAATTATTATTAATTTACGAGTTGGGTTTGTGAATAATAGTAAAAAAACATTAACAACAACAAAAACATTGCTAGCGACCAGCCTGGTACTGTGGTAGTGGTACAGTGTGTACAGCTACAGACCACTTCGCCAGGCTCGGACACGGTCACACGGTCTCACATTCATACATGTACATGTACATGGCTGTGCGGCGCAAACCTCTAACTACTACTACTACAGTACTAGAGAGGCAAGAGGTACACAAAAGGAAGTAAACAGGGCTGTTTAACTAAGGACCACTAATGACCGGTTTCTCTGGCCCCAAGGGGTGGTCGTTACTCGTTAGGCCATGGTAAAAATTATCTTTGATTCTCAAGTACGCGCGCACCGATTTTTGGCGGCGCACCGACGATTTTTTTAAATATTTCTATGCATGCATATGCGCGCATGAAAACGGTCAAAGCGAAAGGCATGAATCAGGGAGTAGTAGAATACCGGTGTTTTCTACTCCCTGACCTGAATATACATGTATGAACACGTGACCATGTACATGTACATTATGTGTGACCCTATCTTTGGAAATAAAAAAATTGTGGGAAATAAAATAAAAAATCGCTCGCTCGCACCGATGTTCACAGGCTCATGACCTGAGAATCAACTTTGTTTTTTTACCATGGCCTTAGTTACAGGTTATACTCTACTACAGTATGACACCACAATACAAGTGCAGAGCAAGGAATTTTGAAATGGAAGCACTGAAAGAATTTTTTTAAACAATTTAACAGCATTGAAGATAACCACAGAACCGCAACCAGAACAATTCATTTGACCTGCAAAATCGTTTATGAGGAGATCTCAAGTTGACAGCTAACGGCAATTCATCACCGGTGTACCACGGCATGCAAGGCGTCAGAAATTCCTTGTAGGACACGCCGACGTCATGAAAACAAAAAACAAAAACAAAACGAAAGATGCAATGCTCCGCAGTGCTAGCAGTGTGTTCCAAATAAAAATCGGCACTAGGAATTCCGATGCAGGCAACTTCAGGAAAGGGCGTGTCGCGGCAATAGTAGGTGTAGCCGAAGCAGCGACATGCCGAGCAAAATCATTAACCGGAGCACTTCAAATGCTGCCATGACAACAGCCAGTACACATAATACCGTGCCAACAGGCAGTACAATGGATACCAGCAGCTAGTACAAATATTACAATGACAACAGCTAGTACTAATCTAATGATAAGTTACTACTACTACTGGCAGTAAGCACACCAGTGGGAAATTGAGCAATATAATAATAGGAGTGGAGCGGCTAGTCGGAACCGACTGCAAATGCATGATGTCCCAGGAAATGGTTCTTGAAGCGATGCGCGCGCGGAGGAATGTACCCTCACACGCCAGCACAGAGTCACACGAACATGGCAGGCATTGTATGATATACATGGCCGTGAAACAGCAGCACGCCAGGCCAACGCCCTAGGTAGCAGCAGCAGCAGCAGTAGCGTTGGCAGCAGTGGCGTCGGTGGTGTTGGAGGCGGCGGCGCCACTCTCCTCCCTGAGCGGCTCCAGGGGGCTGGTGGGCGAGAACGCCTGGTCCGAGTCGCTGCCGGAAATGCGGCGGGTGATCGCTGCAACGACGGTGTCGCCACTGCGGCCGCGCGCCTCCTGCTCCTGCTCCTCGTCGAAGAAGTCCAGGTTGACGTACGTGAAGCCGAAGAACTCCGTCTGCTTGAGCTGATTGATGACGGTCGTGTCGCATGGTGTGTTCTTCGTCGTCAGCGTCGAGATGAACTCCTTGTCAAAGTTGTCCACGCCCTTTGGGCTTTTCTGCAGATCCACAATAGAACAACATACTCGGTTCATGTGTGATGTCTAACTACAGCACAGCTCAATGAAATCCAGTCGCGTCACTCAAGTACAGTCAGACCTCGCTTATCCGGTCCTCGTTTATCCGGATCCCTCGCCATCCGGTAGAAAATTGCTGGTTACCGATTTACAGCATAATTCTGCCATGCATACATACAGTATGTGTGTTCGATTATCCGGTTCCCTCGCCTATCCGGATATTTTTCTGGAAAGCAGACGTGTGCGGTTATGCGAGGTCTGACTGTACCCGCCCGGCGTTGCGCAGCCCGAGACCTGCGAACACTGGGCTGCGGAATGACGCAAGGCGCAAACTTGAGTGACACCGCGACTCATTGAGCAGCACTGTAGAGTGTTGTGCTCGCTGAAATCCGACCCAAAGACCAGAAAACAGACGCCCTGGACCAGTTTCGATTACAGCACTGCACGTGTACATGTGTACGTCCAGCCGCATTCGTACGTCTCCCAGCTAGGGCATCAAGGGCCCCGCAATTAAGTTGGTGGCACCAAATGTGCACTTCGGGTCGGATCTCACCGAGCACAACTGTTAGCTTGATGTGTTCCTGAACACGTCAGGTGATGCGGCCGCGAATCCGGCTAACTTTTTTTTTCCTTTTTCAACTGTACAAGCAGACTGCCTCTGGAAGCAGTTTGCCCCTTGCACGCACGCATCACATTCATTGTGCCAACAAAGAAGTTGTATGTCTCGCCGGCGGAGCGCTGCGAGATAGGCGAGAAATGATTTCTCGCGAAATATTTTCAGCTGCAAATATGGCATCTGGTGTGTTCTTTATTGTCGCTTCTTTTCCTGACTTCTTCAGTCAGTTTTGAGTGCCAACAAAGAAGCTCTCACACATCCACAAGTACATGTACTACAGTACATACATACGCAACGGGAGTGGCAATTCGGTCAGCTGTGGGAAAGAGCACCCGTGGCAGAGGGCCTCCACACACACACCAAACAACATGGAGAATGATTTTCGCTGAACTTTTTGGTAAAACCGTGAAACTCTGACCAATGCAGGTGCTACTGTTAATAAATATGAAAATCAATACACCTTGTGTCCCGCGGCGGGATACGACCAGGACTGATTTCTTTACAACGAGCATGCACGTTACAATACAGATGAGAGGGAGAGAGAGAGAGAGAGAGAGAGAGTGTGAGAGAGAGGGAGAGAGAGAATACAGAGAGAGGGAGAGAGGGAGACAATACAGAGAGAGACACTACGGACAGAGACAACACAGAGAGAGACAATACGGAGAAAGACAATGCTGGGACAACCACTTTACACCTCGCTAGCAGCACCATACCGTGACAGGTTTGAACGGCGGCGGCATCTCTCTGCTCATCAGCTTAGTCCAGTCCATCGTGTGGTAGAACGGGTGGCTCTTGATGTCGTCCTGACCATTCATGCCCGCACCCAGGCGAGCCTTCGGGTTCTTCTTCATGAACTATAATTCACAGGCACACCACCATCACTATAACTAATGAACAGAGCTACAGTAAAACCTGTCAAGGAGACCACTCGATAAGGCAACCACCTGTCCTGGAGGACCACTACAACCAGGACTAAGGGGTGTTATTTCCAGTCAAATGACCCTGGATACGGAGACAATCTGTACATGGGGACCGCATTTTGAAGGTCCCTCGTGTGGTCGGCTTACATGATAATGTACAGTATTGTCGGGCGTCGAAGAAGGGCCAGGCTAGAATTTCACCAATTTTTAAGAAAAGCGTAGGCTGGATTTTTTGCAGATAAGAACGGAAACCGTAAATATAAACTATAATGTACACTCAGACGTACAGCTCTGCATAAATGTACAGTCAACTTCGCGTATGACGACACTCGGCGGGGCAAAAGAAAAGTGTCCTTATTCGCGAAGTGTCCTTATACCCGAAGTCCCATTGTGTATTACAGTTGGATGTGACTTTGCTCTGGGCATGGAAATTCTGTCGTTATTCGCGAATTGTCGTTATATCCGCAGTCGTTATTCGCGAATTGTCGTTATATCCGCAGTCGTTATTCGCGAATTGTCGTTATATCCGCAGTCGTTATTAGCGAATTGTCGTTATATCCGCAGTCGTTATTCGCGAATTGTCGTTATATCCGCAGTCGTTATTAGCGAATTGTCGTTATTCGCGAATTGTCGTTATATCCGCAGTCGTTATTCGCGAATCGTCGTTATATCCGCAGTCGTTATTAGCGAATTGTCGTTATATCCGCAGTCGTTATTCGCGAATTGTCGTTATATCCGCAGTCGTTATTAGCGAATTGTCGTTATATCCGCAGTCGTTATTCGCGAATTGTCGTTATATCCGCAGTCGTTATTCGCGAATTGTCGTTATATCCGCAGTCGTTATTCGCGAATTGTCGTTATATCCGCAGTCGTTATTCTCGAATTGTCGTTATATCCGCAGTCGTTATTAGCGAATTGTCGTTATATCCGCAGTCGTTATTAGCGAATTGTCGTTATATCCGCAGTCGTTATTAGCGAATTGTCGTTATATCCGCAGTCGTTATTCGCGAATTGTCGTTATATCCGCAGACGTTATTCGCGAATTGTCGTTATATCCGCAGTCGTTATTCGCGAATTGTCGTTATATCCGCAGTCGTTATTAGCGAATTGTCGTTATATCCGCAGTCGTTATTAGCGAATTGTCGTTATATCCGCAGTCATTATTAGCGAATTGTCGTTATATCCGCAGTCGTTATTCGCGAATTGTCGTTATATCCGCAGTCGTTATTCGCGAATTGTCGTTATATCCGCAGTCGTTATTCTCGAATTGTCGTTATATCCGCAGTCGTTATTAGCGAATTGTCGTTATATCCGCAGTCGTTATTAGCGAATTGTCGTTATATCCGCAGTCATTATTAGCGAATTGTCGTTATATCCGCAGTCGTTATTAGCGAATTGTCGTTATATCCGCAGTCGTTATTAGCGAATTGTCGTTATATCCGCAGTCATTATTAGCGAATTGTCGTTATATCCGCAGTCATTATTAGCGAATTGTCGTTATATCCGCAGTCGTTATTAGCGAATTGTCGTTATATCCGCAGTCGTTATTCGCGAATTGTCGTTATATCCGCAGTCGTTATTCGCGAATTGTCGTTATATCCGCAGTCGTTATTAGCGAATTGTCGTTATATCCGCAGTCGTTATTCGCGAATTGTCGTTATATCCGCAGTCATTATTAGCGAATTGTCGTTATATCCGCAGTCGTTATTCGCGAATTGTCGTTATATCCGCAGTCGTTATTCGCGAATTGTCGTTATATCCGCAGTCGTTATTCGCGAATTGTCGTTATATCCGCAGTCGTTATTAGCGAATTGTCGTTATATCCGCAGTCGTTATTAGCGAATTGTCGTTATATCCGCAGTCGTTATTCGCGAATTGTCGTTATATCCGCAGTCATTATTAGCGAATTGTCGTTATATCCGCAGTCGTTATTAGCGAATTGTCGTTATATCCGCAGTCGTTATTAGCGAATTGTCGTTATATCCGCAGTCATTATTAGCGAATTGTCGTTATATCCGCAGTCATTATTAGCGAATTGTCGTTATATCCGCAGTCGTTATTCGCGAATTGTCGTTATATCCGCAGTCGTTATTAGCGAATTGTCGTTATATCCGCAGTCGTTATTCGCGAATTGTCGTTATATCCGCAGTCATTATTAGCGAATTGTCGTTATATCCGCAGTCGTTATTAGCGAATTGTCGTTATATCCGCAGTCGTTATTAGCGAATTGTCGTTATATCCGCAGTCATTATTAGCGAATTGTCGTTATATCCGCAGTCATTATTAGCGAATTGTCGTTATATCCGCAGTCGTTATTCGCGAATTGTCGTTATATCCGCAGTCGTTATTCGCGAATTGTCGTTATATTTATTTATTCAACATCTCCTGGCCCGTCCGAAGACTGCCAATAAACATGAGAGGTCAGGTGATAGCCAACCACGGCAAGCTAAAAGGGAAAAAAAAGAAAAAGAAAGATGCTGTCAGAGAGGGAAAGGAGATAGGGAGAGAAAAAGAAAGGGAGGCACATTAATAATACATGGGATCACTTCGGATGAGACAGTGTGGAAAGCTGGACTGTGAATTTCCTGATATCCTGGCATGTCTTAATGCTAGTAGGCAGGTTAGACCAAAGGGAGTATGCTGAGAAGAAAGGGGATTTCAAAAACAGAGAGGAACTAGCTCGGGGCAGTGATAAGGCATTGCGTGTTGGTCTAGTGGTAACAAACCAGTTGTACTTGGCAATATGTTTCGGGACTTGGGCTAGGAAGATTTTTTGCACAAGGATACAAAGATGCTGCTGATGTCGGGCAAGAAGAGGGTGCGTGGAAGCAAGTTTATAAATATCCGCAGTCGTTATTCGCGAATTGTCGTTATATCCGCAGTCGTTATTCGCGAATTGTCGTTATATCCGCAGTCGTTATTAGCGAATTGTCGTTATATCCGCAGTCGTTATTCGCGAATTGTCGTTATATCCGCAGTCATTATTAGCGAATTGTCGTTATATCCGCAGTCGTTATTCGCGAATTGTCGTTATATCCGCAGTCGTTATTCGCGAATTGTCGTTATATCCGCAGTCGTTATTCGCGAATTGTCGTTATATCCGCAGTCGTTATTAGCGAATTGTCGTTATATCCGCAGTCGTTATTAGCGAATTGTCGTTATATCCGCAGTCGTTATTCGCGAATTGTCGTTATATCCGCAGTCATTATTAGCGAATTGTCGTTATATCCGCAGTCGTTATTAGCGAATTGTCGTTATATCCGCAGTCGTTATTAGCGAATTGTCGTTATATCCGCAGTCATTATTAGCGAATTGTCGTTATATCCGCAGTCATTATTAGCGAATTGTCGTTATATCCGCAGTCGTTATTCGCGAATTGTCGTTATATCCGCAGTCGTTATTAGCGAATTGTCGTTATATCCGCAGTCATTATTAGCGAATTGTCGTTATATCCGCAGTCATTATTAGCGAATTGTCGTTATATCCGCAGTCGTTATTCGCGAATTGTCGTTATATCCGCAGTCGTTATTCGCGAATTGTCGTTATATCCGCAGTCGTTATTAGCGAATTGTCGTTATATCCGCAGTCGTTATTCGCGAATTGTCGTTATATCCGCAGTCATTATTAGCGAATTGTCGTTATATCCGCAGTCGTTATTAGCGAATTGTCGTTATATCCGCAGTCGTTATTAGCGAATTGTCGTTATATCCGCAGTCATTATTAGCGAATTGTCGTTATATCCGCAGTCATTATTAGCGAATTGTCGTTATATCCGCAGTCGTTATTCGCGAATTGTCGTTATATCCGCAGTCGTTATTAGCGAATTGTCGTTATATCCGCAGTCGTTATTCGCGAATTGTCGTTATATCCGCAGTCATTATTAGCGAATTGTCGTTATATCCGCAGTCGTTATTAGCGAATTGTCGTTATATCCGCAGTCGTTATTAGCGAATTGTCGTTATATCCGCAGTCATTATTAGCGAATTGTCGTTATATCCGCAGTCATTATTAGCGAATTGTCGTTATATCCGCAGTCGTTATTCGCGAATTGTCGTTATATCCGCAGTCGTTATTCGCGAATTGTCGTTATATCCGCAGTCATTATTAGCGAATTGTCGTTATATCCGCAGTCGTTATTAGCGAAGTTGACTGTACATGTAAGACGACCATCGAATAAGAACGAAACTTCTGTCACGCAAGTTCTGTGTTCGCTAAAAAAAAGAACTGGCAAAGCTAGAACCCTGACCCCCAGTTCTTTGGTGCCCGACAGTACCGTAAGCAAAAAAATTCTCAAACGGCAACCGTGCGTCCTTGCTGTTGCTGCGAGTGTTATGTCTGAAAACTAACACTGATCAGACCGCATAGCCAACACTACAGTACACTAGCAACAGTGAGCGTGTGTACTGGGAGTAAAAGGGGGTGGGGGCAGAGGTGACAGAGGCATAACACTTCAGTAGGATAACATAGGCACGTATCTGAACAAATATCGAAGCCAGCACAACCCGAACAAACATGGAAGCCAGCACAACCCGAACAAGACACGCAAATGTAAGAAGAATCACCAAAAAGCCACATCAACAAAGCTGGGCAACAGAATGTACCATCCGCATGCCTTACCTGCTCACAGATGGACTTGGCCTCCTCGGAGATGTGACGCGGGAAGATGATGTTGCCTTCGATGATCTTTCCCACAACCTCATCCTCATCGTCACCTTCGAACGGCGGCTGCACACAAGCACATGCACACACGCACACACACACGCGCACACACACACACACACACACACACACACACACACACACACACACAACTTGCCTTTAAGACTGCAGGTTGATACTTGTTGTACAGTAAAACCTGTCAACGGGCGACCCCTCTGATAAGGCGACCCCTCTGATAAGGCGATCACCTGTCCGGAGGACCACTACAACCAGGACCAAGGGATGTTATTTCCAGTCAAATGACCCTGGATAAGGAGACCACCTGGTAACAGAGACCAGGCTTTGAAGGTCCCTTGAGCGGTCGTTCTAGACAGGTTTGACCGTACTAGAGTGAGGTCACTTGAAGTCTGAATGAGCGGATCAAGTCAAGTTCTGGCTACTGAAATCCAACCCCTGGAGCGGTGCGCTCGCATTGCAAAGACCCAGCATGGGATTGTAACACTACGAAATAAGGAGACCGCTAGAATCGGTGCCCGCACTCGAGTACGAAACGCAGCGGTCGGATTTCAGTCGTCACCTCGGTATACGTGTGGCGGGCGCTGTGCAGCCCTAGCTAGCCCGGTGAACACTGGGTTGCGAAATGGTGCAGGGCACTAACTGGACGCATGCAATGGGACTTTGTCAAGCAGCGCTGTGCATTCGGGTTTTCACCAACGGCGTGAAGCACACTGATTGTAGTCGCCTCATCAGTCAGTGGAATATTAGTTAGAGGGAACATACAAATTGCATTTTCGAATTTGGACTTCACGGAGAGAATTTCCCAGGCCACCTGCCTTGTACTGCCCTTTACTCTGGCTTCTCTGGCTTTCAAGTGTTCAGTTGTGGAGAGAAATCAACAAAGAATAGAGCTGTATGAGGCAGGTGGCCTATCTTCCTAGTAGGGAACATACAAGAGTGCCAAAAAAATTGAATATTGAACGGTGACGTGTAGAATAAGACAGGACTGCCCCCCCCCCCCCCCACCCCGTCCCGGGCACACATTCAAAAGTCATCACTGCTAACTTTACGTCACGTGTACCGGTGGCCTCACAGAAAGTAGGACAACATGAATCAGCCATTCAGCCCAAGGGCTAGCGAAAACTTGGGTGCGTGGGTCACTGCATGCTGAGCTGAGAAAAAAGCACTTGAAGTTGCACGTTTGTGTTTGGGACTGTCAGACCTCAACAACCAACAAAACTGATTGTTACTTTGGTATTACTGGCAGTGTTTGACTCATTTTTTTTTTTTTTAATGATTTCTGAAGCTTGCAGGCATGTGGTGCACCCGGTAAAGAATCCAATTTCAAGATTTGAGGCTAAGCACCCTTTCCGCGTGCTCTGGCTAAGCTACAGTGGAATCGGCTGCTGCAATGCTAAACTCCCCAATGGACGCATGATGCACATCATCATCATCATCATCATCAGGGGCGTCATAAGGCAGTGTGGAGTGGTATGACCGGGAGTCGGGGCCGTCCCCGGGGGAAAAATGTTGAATTTTTCGTCCAACAGGCAGTGCTCTCTTTTTTGCTTTCTGGATGAATTGCGCGGACCATCCTGGACGTTTGCGGTTAAGTGAGGTCTGACTGTACAAGCAGACCATTTAGTCAGTGAATAGTTTCGCCCAGCTCCAAAAGAAATGGAATCTGAAAATTTCGCCCACGGACTATAATGTTTTTGGAAAAGGTCGACAGATCGACGTTAGTCCAGTGTCTAATTTAGTATGAAAACTCGATATACAAAAATGGACTAAAATTCAATTCCTGACAAATATGTCTGCTTTTAGGGTATCTCATACAGTATCTGATATAGCATCTGACACAGTCTCCAGTCTCCGCAAGGTTGGACTGCCGCCAATTGGGGGCGGTATGCAAACATCTTATCTAAACAACGTACAGGTGGATCGGCAGGCTTCAGTATGTAGCTAACGATCGCTGGGTTGGGCAAACATACTCTAGTCTACACCCCCGTGAGCACCGGCTCATATCACCAGAAATGGGCGTTACGTTGACATTTCACAGTGCCCAAAGTTAGATGATCAATTTAACTCATCTAACTAGGATGAGCCAGTTCAGAGACGACTCAAGCTTTGACTGCCCATGGACCTCCTGCAGGAGATCGCGGAGAGGGCTTTTCTCATGCACCTCAGGGAATCGTGGCTTCTACAGGACCGGAGGAAGCAGTTTTGGATTGGTCCGGCCATGCCACGGCCGTTCGTACCTTGTGTATGAGGTGGTGGGTACACATGACCTCCTCAGCAGTTAACACATGGTGGTCGCCAAAGAGTTGGTCCTGCCATGGCCTGACCAACCATGGCCTGACCAACCGGACCGGTTCTAGCCTAGGAAAACGGCAAAAGTACATAGTGCCTGAAACGAAGTGCGTTTTCGACCCAGGGGATTGGGAAGTTCTACATGTTCCATGCAACTCGTAATCGGGGTCAAGTCAAGGCGGCTGGCCCCAAATGCGGCCCAGATTGCGATGCCATGTACAGACATGCATAAATCGGCCCTGCCCTAGGGGGAACTGGGGGCCGCCTGGAAGCACAACACCAATTCAACTTTTTGCCCATGTTGTCTCCCTATGCCAGGGCTCCCAGGTACTGGGTTTCTGCCTTCTCAAACCAGAGCATTAGTGTGCTAGTAATCAATGCCAGCATGCAGTTGAGTGCAAATCAACTACAGCACAATAATTCAATAGGACATCGTCTTGTCATGATCTTAGATTTTGTTTGTGTTTGATAGCGAATATTATTATTATTGATAGGTACTGGGGGTCTCCATTTACGACGAGCATGGACGGTGCAAGTACCACTCCAGTTGTGATGGCTTGAAGCGGTGTACATGGTGTATGCGCTTCCGTCTGTGTCAACCACTGTGAGTTGTGTTACTCAGCAGGGACGCAACTCTTGCTGAACAGCGGACAATGGAACCACGTGCTCGCACAAGCGTCTTTACCCCGGCGACGTGTTTCCACGCTGTCAAACTAGTAATGGAAAAAACGGCGAAGGCGAGAAGGCAGGCAGTGTTCCGGTGTGCACTCGCATTATCAGCAGGTGACACGAACAGGTCGAGGAGTACCCAGACGCAACGACCAATGGACCGTATGCGTGTTAAAACAAAATGGCGTCACGATTTATTGAAAGTGGTATAGTTGGTGGAACGAGTGTTCAAACCCATTTGAACTTCATACTGTTCGTCTTCTTTTTGACATGCTCTCTTTCCATCGTCCTTAGCTTTTGTTTGTTGAGAGCTGTTTTGGCTTTCTCCTATACCTCTGGGGGATGCCAAGTGATGGTTTTGAGAGGCTGGTGATGGCTGTGAGCGAGAGTTTGCCGATCGGCGTCGTCCTCGCTATAGCGATGAAAATACTAGTTACTGCGCACCTGGCAGATATCACAACACGTCGGAGCGTCCAGGAGCAAAGGAATCTTGGGTTTTCACTGGAATCTAGTTCCACCAGCATCGTGTAGCCCACCGTCGGTGAATGGCGGTCCAGAAAGGTCGAAACTGGTCTTCTGCAGCATCTCGCAGTCCTGCGAGGCACACTGAATACGCCTGTCATGTATTCTACAAATAAAAATCACGAAGTAGTGGACTTTACAGTGATGAGTCTATCCTGTATGCTGCAAAAGACGCAGGAAATTTGACTGGTGTCCGTACACTGGACGCCAATATCATCCCAGTCTTCTCCTGCAGGATCTGTTTGACATTGACATACCGGTATGCAGTGGGTCGACATTGGCCTGGTTTGGCAGCTATCTGCCTGGGTGGATGTAGCAGGTTTGCATTGGCGCGTCGTCCAGTCCGACATTTTCTTGTAACTGTGGAGTACCGGCAGGGTCTGAGAGGTTGCTCGTGCTGTGAACACATCTCTACTGCCTGTCTCGTCCTGGAAGTGCCGTCTCGCCGCTTCCTTGCTCTACAGTCACGCCGTTATTTCGCTTTGTTTCGCGGTGCAGCTCAAAACCTGCCCAAACAACTGTGAGCTCGCAACATGGTATGGACAAATTGCACCACTCATGCTGGTTAACTAAAACCGGGATAGTCAAGTAAGCGAGTTCACTCCCTGGGCCATGGCAAGATCTGTTCAGCGCGGGCTATTCCAACCTCCAAGTGCATAGTCACCGATCGATCCATGCGATGGTGGTTGACCTACAAAGAGCCAAGTCTACGAGTACTACTATTGGATGCTGTCTACATGCAGTCAACAAAATCAAAGTACCTCAGTATGCCCCAGAACAGGGCATGTGCATCTATAGCATGACACAACAGGGGTTCTGGCGGCACCTGTCAAACAAGCAGTAGCGACTAGTGCCAGCTACCTATTGGAGGCTAGCCGCTACAGTCTGTCACTGGAGATAATTATTATGTTCACTGTTTAGACTGAGCACAATCAATGATGCCCAATCAATCTGCCCAATGTGTGTTCTGTTCCACCTAATTATAACGTCCCATCGCATCAACCCTACTACACGCACATGTCGTCACTCTAGCACGACTTGTGTTATTATTGTTTATTTTGATTCGCACGATAAATAGAGCACAATAAACGTTAACTTGACCGAAGGTTAAAGGCGACTGCAGATAGAGGAACACATCGAGGTACAGGTGCCGGCATCAATACAGTATCAGAGAGGTACGCAGAAAAAACTCTCGTAAGCCCAAGGGGAAGTGGTTGATGAGGGATGAATGTACTCTCCACGCTCGTCTACACTGTTCGTGGAAATGCACACATACATACAATAATATACAACATAGCAATAGCATGCACAGAACCGAACAATTTCATGTTCACACATGCAAGCACAGACCTGAACATTAGTACCAAAAGCCGATACAGACAATATCCCCATACACACAGACGCACACACACACAATGTCCCATGTATGCGCCCGTGGCGAGAAAAGCACGCAGATCTAAAAATGCACTGGATGTGAACCCACAGATTTTCTCTAATAGCAAATGATAGCGGATCTGATTCTGAATGAAACACACACACAATACAATTATTGAATGCCCATCCGCAGATGATGGCAGGTCCTGAAAGAACAGGCAGTGTTCCAGTGATGGGGAACAGAACTTCGAGTGGCGAGTGAGGTATACACACACACGTGCGTGCGCGGGCACACACCAAAGTATGAAGAAATAGAATCGACATCGTAGTATTCATTGGTTGGGGAATGGAAAGGAAAATAAAACATTGCTATAGGTTATTGTTGTAAGGACACTGGGAGCACAACAGAAAGGTAAGCAACTTGCTTTGAAGCAAAGAAAGTTATTATTCCACGGATCTCAGAAGGAAGGAACGTTCCAGAATGCTGCACTGGCAACAGGCGGCCTGCATGTGCGCGGCCCCTGCAGTCGGTCCAGCTGCCGGCCTTGCAGTGCTGAAAAGAATGTGCAGTACAGCATGTCACATAGTATCGCAGCCTGGACAAATAGACGCTGGGAAGTCCTAGTTATGTGCTCACCTACACCACGATGCACCAATCTTCTGAGCTACTTTGGCAACAATTTTGTCCACTTGAGACTCCCATGGGCTGAGCCAGTTGTTGAGGGCTGCATCAAGGTGGACGGCAATGACCGCTGATGGCAAGGCAATCCATGACACACAGTCACTAGGGCATCGTCAACATGGCGCTAAGGCTGGATGAATAAAATCAACCTTTAGGCTGCCGCTGGATTGACAACGAGGCCGCTGTCTCGAAGCTAGTCAGTCAGCCTGGTCACCGCCATTGACGAACCAGTCGCCACCGCCAGCAGTGGCGGTAGGTTGTGACAAGTATGGTGCAATATTGTCAGCAAATTCAGTACTCAGGATAAGATGAGTGACAAAGGGAACGTTGTGTTTGATAATATTGAAGTGAACAGGGATGATCACAAACCCTGCGCGTACTCCACCGTGAGTTACAAGAAAATTCCGGACTGGACGACGAGCAAACACCAACCTGCTACATCCAACCAGGCAGATACTATTACGATAGCTGCCAAACCAGGTCAATGCCGACCTACTGCATAATGTCAATGTCAAACAGATCCTGCAGGAGAAGACTGGGGTGTTGGCGTCCAGTCACTGAGTGTACAGACACCAGTCACATTTCCTGCGTCTTTGGCAGCATACAGGATAGACTCATCACTGTAAAGTCCACTACTTCGTGATTTTTATTTGTAGAATACATGACAGGCGTATTCAGTGTGCCTCGCAGGACTGCGAGATGCTGCAGAAGACCAGGTTCGAACTTTCTGGACCGCCATTCACCGACGGTGGGCTACACGATGCTGGAGGAACTAGATTCCAGTGAAAACCCAAGATTCCTTTGCTCCTGGACGCTCCGACGTGTTGTGATATCTGCCAGGTGCGCAGTAACTAGTATTTTCATCGCTATAGCGAGGACGACGCCGATCGGCAAAACTCTCGCTCACAGCCATCACCAGCCTCTCAAAACCATCACTTGGCATCCCCCAGAGGTATAGGAGAAAGCCAAAACAGCTCTCAACAAATAAAAGCTAAGGACGATGGAAAGGGAGCATGTCAAAAAGAAGACGAACAGTATGAAGTTCAAATGGGTTTGAACACTCGTTCCACCAACTATACCACTTTCAATAAATCGTGACGCCATTTTGTTTTAACATGAATATCGTGGATTATTAATTTTAGTATTTTTGATTTACTGATCAAGAGTTCTGTTTGTTCGAGTGTGTTTTGTTTACCACGCCGCTCACGGAACGTGAACAAGCGCTTCTGCGACAAACACTATAACTTTTCTGATCGCTTGGTCACAGCACGAACGAAGTAGGTAATTATTTTGTTGATTTAGAAATCGGAATACATCACATTATAGGAGGGATTACTGGTGACTTCAAAGTAGCGCAATCGAATTATCCCGACGTAGATACGACGAGCGCTCTCGCTGATGAGTAACATCAAGGCAGTCACGCACACACACACCCAGAAAATTAATTGCACCTAAAAGCCTAGTAAAAGGCTAAAAGCTAGAAAATCTAGAGCAGCTAGAAAAGCTCCTGGTTTCCCAGCGGACTCACCCGGAATCACACAGCACTCACCAGGATCGACATAGCCAGGACCCTGGCCGTTGTAGTCGTTGCGAATGTGCTCGTCCGCCACGCCGAAGTTCGCCATCTCGACGTCGTCTCTGACCATGCGATCGGAGCTCCGCTGACTCGGCGGGAACATGTTCGCCTGCCAGTCGCCTTGGTCTGTCATTCTTCCACTTCGCTAGTCAACAGTGTGCCCCTACCCTGCTGGCTGCAGACAAGTCACTGCAGCCACCACTGGCACTAAAGCCTAGTAGATCTACAGGGTGACTGAAATTTTCGTGAAGGTTCAGGCTCACCCACACGGCGGTTGCTTGGTCCCACTCACTCAGAACAATATCAAAACTCTCAACATCTCAGCCAGCGTGGTTCTTGATTGTTAACGTGTTGGCCACCGGAACGAAAGAGTGACAAAATAAAAATTGATGCGAACTCCCATCAGGAAACACTCCCTGCACTCGTGAGCCTAATGACTAATCAGTCTAATGTCTAGTAAAGATGCGGCCTCCACTGATCCAGTGCATCTCGCTGCGACTCGTACCAGAACTCAGCAGGAGGCTGGACACGTCTACACGGACGGTCCACCTAGCTAGCTAGATACAGCCGCTGACGTAGACTGGTAGAGTAACGATGTTACGTGAGTTGGAGGTAGGTCTACTACTAGTAGTACGTAGGTGTGTGCTGACAAACGAGCTACGTGCAAACAAAGCCAAGTCAGGAGTGAGTTTTTGCATTCCGAATTTCGGTACAGCGTTATTCGGTCATTTGTCGAACATCAAAATGTCGAATTTTCGCACCAACGTTTGTTTTGCAAGTCGAAAATGATGTGTTTTCATTTCGTGAGCCCCAGCATCAGCAACGTCCTGTCCCGTGCTCCTTTTCTTGTTGATTCCAACGAACTTTGATCGCCCAAAGAGTCGAGGGCCAAACCTGCCTCCTCAGTCGCCTCAGAAAACCAACTCCATGGCCAAGTCAAATTTTATGCGTGTCGCCATAGTCTTTTCAGCCACACAGATGACGGTGAGGACACTCTAGGCGAAAGAGAGTCGACAGGCAGTGGAGAGGAGCAATCAGAGGTAGCTGACGATGCTATGTCGCCAAAGACGCCTGCCAAGCGATGCCGAGATAAGAAACCTCTTTGAATAAATCACGCGCGAGTGCTCTTCTACAAGAGAATGCAACCGAAAAATATTTTCGGCAAAGTGAGCTTTTTCCGAACAAACACTCCGAATCTTCGTGTGCATTTTCGACCTCGCTCCCGCGTGCCGAATCTTTTTGCCGAATTTCGGAATGCAAAACCTCACTATTACTTATTAGTGTCAATGATAAATTCGCTAGTCGAGAGATGTACAGCTACAGGTTCCTGCACGAGTATGAGGGCAGTACCGCGGAATCCAGCCCGCGCCGCGATAGCGGCAAGGGCTGGATGAGCAGCGGTACTGACCGAGTATGAGTGACTGGAACGTGTTTCCCGTATGCACCCAAGCCAAGGAGATCACTCACAATCTTTGGAAAGCATAATTCGACAATTTATCGGGCATAATCCGCCAAGGGCTAGCACTCGTTGAGACCGCCTTTTTTCCCCTAGGCCCTGCAGCGCTGTCGGACAAACTCACAAAGACTTGGTTGCGTACCCATGAGGACGTATCCATCCATCCATGCATGTCAGTTCTAAAGTCTAGGACTAGGTCGTTGTACGGGCTACAATCTACAATGTACATGTACGTGGGATAAGGAGGGGCTCTGTTGTCTGCGCGGACAGATTCCAGGTGTCTGTTAGGATGTTGATGAAGAAGCGGAGAGCCTGGCCTAGGTCGGTGGAGCACATCAGACCCCGTCACCACGTCCACGATTCATGCCTGCGATGCTCCACCGCTGCTTTTCATGTCATGATTGGAAGCTGTGGCCCTAGTAAAAAAATAAAAAAGTGCAGTATACCACGGTATCGGTATACACCATTACCATGGTTACACCTTTTCCAGCCTAGCCCTTGGCGGATACCTGGATACTGCAGGCAGAAAAATTGGCAGAACATTTGGTACTTTTCTGGTACTACTACTACTACCGGTAATATGTTTCATGCACGTTTGGTACACGTACAGTGAAACCTGACTAAGACGACCGCTCAAGGGACCCTCAAAACCTGGTCTCTGTTACCAGGTGGTCTCCTTACCCAGGTTGGGTCATTTGACTGGAAATTGCATTCATAGATGCTGGTTTCAGCGGTCTTCTAAGGCAGGTGGTCGCCTTATCAGAGTGGTCGCCTTGAAAGGTTTCACTGCATGTGGGTAAAAGAATGGAGCGGAATTCAAGGAAGTGCCTGCCATAACAAGGTGGTTCTGCTAACTAACTTCACTGTGTTTCGAGCAGAATCTGCCCATTTTGTCGATCATTTATATCCCCAAGGGTTTCTCCATCCAGCCTCCAGTGCATGTCCGCCTCCTCATCTACTATGCCAGTACAATGTACCAATGTAGCGCCTTGACTGATCACGAACTTTTGTGGTGAATGATAACTGCAATGAGTGGCCGCCAACACTGCAACAGGACTGATTTGGCACGTTTATGCAGCACACCAGCCACGTACGATTTGTAAAGAAATTTGTCGTGATATTTTCATTTCTGCACCCCTCAGGCCCCGATCAGGCCCTGATCCGCCCCTTGACCTTCTTAGGAAATGTCATCACCGCAGCATTCGCACAAAGTCCAGGCCAGGCCGGGGGTGAGCGAACTCACAGCTGCATGCCATCTGTCATGTACAGTGAAACCTGTCTATAGACGACCGCTCAAGGGACCCTCAAAACCTGGTCTCTGTTACCAGGTGCCGTGGTCTCCTCCTCCAGGGTCATTTGACTGGAAATTGCATTCCTTGGTGCTGGTTTCAGCGGTCTTCTAGGGCAGGTGGTCGCCTTATCAGAGTGGTCGCCTTATCAGAGTGGTCGCCTTATCAGAGTGGTCGCCTTATCAGAGTGGTCGCCTTGACAGGTTTCACTGTACAATACTTAGGGGCCGTCCGTAAATATCGATGTTTTTTTAGAGACGATATTGGTGCTTCTCTCCCTTGACCCCCCTCCCTCCCCCCAGAAGACGCACATGTACATCTAGATCATGGAATCAATATTTTTGGATGCTCATGAAGTGCCCAGGAATGGATGTTGAGGGTCCGGTGTAGGCGTGAAAATCCCGCCGCACTCACGCAATAGCTGCATCGCCTGGCCTGGGATGGGGGGAGCGAACCGGGTTGGCGCTGCAGTGCTCACAGACATCGTGTACTACTGGTGTAGCCAAAGCGGCTACGCTCGGGCTTGAATTTTTTCAAATCCTTGTTCAGACAGTGAAGACTGGAAACTCTTGTGGAGTTCGTCCGTGTTTGTTCGCACTGCCTCTACGTCTTGAAAAAGGTCTCCTGCAGGCATCGTTCGGCCGATTTCCACAATCAATAGCTCATTCTTTTGCTCTTGAAATTCGCCAGGGGCGTACAGCTTCCAATTTTTGATTTTGTTCCTGTGTCGCGAGTTTTAGCTCCGCGAACGGAAGCTGGTTTCACATTTCTTGTATAGCCATTTAGACGTCCGCGTGCAGGGATCGGCGAAACTTCAGATATTTACATCGATATTTTTCTGATGCTCGAAAAGACGCACATGGCTCAAACCCCCTCCCCCCCAGACGCACCAATATCGTCTCTAAAAAAACATCGATATTTACGGACGGCCCCTTAGTAACATGATGTTACATACAGTGCCAGACCTACAGTATCAGCTGACTGGTCACACGACATTTCGTCGACAGTTCACCAATGCTGTTGTTCGGATAATCCCATTCAACACCACCGACTCAGGTGTCCCACATGTATAATTATGTATGACGATCCGGTTTCGGGGGAGCATTATTCCCACATTTATGCTTCTGGGAATAGAAGCTACATGTACATAATTATTCATGAAGATTTGAGACCACGCTTTGAGTGTGATTTCCACACGCTCTTTTCAACAATGCTTTCTACCGGTGTCATGCATACGGTTAAATGTACCCGGTACTGCGATGGTCTCCTTGGTTCACGCTTCCCCGTCAATGCGTCTGCAAGGACTTCGCATGTCAACCTTGAAAACAGTCATTGATGGCAGGAAAGCCGAGGGAGTTGGGAGGTGATTGGAGGGGCGACTTCAACCAGTCAACATGCTGCCCCAGCTTCACATTCAGTTGCATGGTATTTCAGAACATTAATGACCGCTGGGCCAGTGTACCCAGTGTACCCAGTGTGGGTCTACGGTCAACAAACAACAATAAAATTCACGGTTCGCGTTAGACTCGCCTGGAGCGCCACCACCCCCCCCCCCCCCCCCCGCCCTCCCCCCCCCCCCCCCCAATCCGCAGGAACGCCACCACCCTCGAGGTCTCCAGAATCAAGGTGCAGATGCAGTTCCTAAGCGATGGGAGGTGAGTAGATCAGATACACCACCAAAGTGCTCAAAGACAGAAAATTCCATTCGCTGCATCCGTGTTTCCCTCGTGCCAGGCCACGAGTGCAATATTTACAAATGCAGGCAAATTCTCCTAGCAGCTGAAAGGAATTTCGAGCACAACGTCAATAACCATACAGCATTGATTATTTAGAAAAGCGATCCTGTCAGCTTTTCTATTATTTTTAGAGGACTGAGATCAGTGTAGGTAACTGAGGCAAGTGCACTTGTCAGCTTACCCAGGTACTGGTGGCCATGGGAGGAATTTGAAAACAAAACGAAGGAAACGAAAAATTGATAACAACGTAATCAATCACATGTATGTGTGGGATTTCAAAATGTTCAAAGAGAAAAGCAGTACTCGCTAGGCACATTGGCACAATAAACTATGCCGTCCCATACATTCCAATATTCCACAGCTGGTGCGATGCCGGTGTTGCGGTGGCAGTTCCGTTACTGAAGCAGTGCATATAGCGGGCTAGCCTCCGCCAACTAGTCAGCGTACATCGGGCCATGCGCTCGCATCAGCTCCATGCCCGCGTTGACGGGGCACACACACACACACACACACACACACACACACACACACACATACACACACACACACACACACACACACGCATACACACACAAACACACACACACACACTCACACACACACACGCACACACACGCACACACACACACACCTAAACACACACACACACGTCACACACTCACAGATACACACACCAATCGCTTGCTGCTGCTGGTGTTGTTTGCGATGTATCTCCATCCATTGATCTTAGTAGTGCTGCCAATCTTTCCTTTGCTGGTGCAGTTACGGTTCCTGGTACTACTGCTGCTACTGGTGCTGCTGGTGCTGTTGGTGGGGCTGCAGATGCTGCCGTTGCTCGCGCTGTTGCTGCTGCTGCTGTTGCTGGTGCTAGTGTTGCTGCTGCTGTTTCTGCAGCTACTGCTGTTGTTGATGCTGCTGCAGTTGCTGGTGCTGCTGGTGCTTCTGTTGCTGCTGCTGGTGATGCTGTTGAAGGTCCTGTTGGTTTTGGTTGTGATCGACTGGCACTTTCAGCCTTTATATAGCATTATGATTTCCCGGGAAACCACAATATTGCACATGTATAGACAAAAAGACGCACACAGACATCAACGCAAAAACATGCATCCGCATAC